ATGACGTAGTATGAGATCTGCTGAAGCAACATTAAGTCTAAGGAGAGAATTCAGGGATGTCCATTTTGGTGTCCTCTTTAAGGAGGGCTCTCTGCCATCTCTGATGGCAGGTCATGGCTGTTAATACTATAGAGCAAGATGGCGGAACTCTAGTCAGGAGGCCCATGCTGCCTTCCAACCACCACTGCTGCCACCTCCTCCGGTTTATATTCCAGAAAGTTCTTTTGTTCTCACTGTTTAGCAAAAAAGAACGACATAAAGTTCCCCTGCATACCTTGTTCAATTGGAGAATTTTAATACTTTCCATGTACCATTGTAAAACCAAGGACAATTTTATAACTTTTTGTATATAGTTGTTACGTGTAGGGCAATCTCTGTAAGCAGGGACAAATGATTCCAAAGGAAATGAATCCTAGCCGGTTTTCCCCTTAAGTCAAGAGTCTTGTTGTTTAAATAAACTTCTTGTTAAAAGAAAAAGGGAAAAACAGAAAGCCAACGCTAAGGAGAAAGGACTTTAACCTTTGTGTGTTTTATTCTCTTTCAGGACATGGGAAGGCCAAGTCGTCCCGGACGGCACACTGGGCCTCTGCTTCTGTCGGAGACAAGCCCAGCCGGATTTTTCTCTGCCCAGCAAGAGGGCAGACCCCACTGCCAGCAGGCCCCCATCCTCCTCAGCCCCATGTCCATTTCTGGACAAGGGTGGGACTGGCCATGGGGTGAGGAGGGATTGAAGAACAACTGAGGACATGAGGCCCTCGCTGTTATCAGTGGGAATTTTGAGCAAACGGGGCAGACATGTGTCAGCACTTGGGTGCGCTGAGAGACACAGCCCTTCTTATTTGAGCCCTTATAGCCGCTCCACGAGACAAAGTGCATGCTCAATTAGTAACCAAGGAAACGCAAATTCAGAGAGATGAAGTGCCTAACCCAAGAAAACATGCTAATGAGTGTCAGGAGTGGAGTTGAAAACCCCTCTTTTGGCTCGACATTATCCTTGTCCCTATGCCTCATGATCACAATTTCTAAAAGCCCTCTTCCTGCAGTCTAGGTCAATCACACTTTCCCACAGTCCAGGAAGGATGTTTCAGTGTAAAGTTATTTGAACTAGTCCTCCTTCCCATGATGTATAACCATAACATGAAATTGTTCAAAAAATATTTCTTGGCCACCTGTACTAGGTGCTAGGAAAAATCAAGGAAGCAACAGATAAAAATCTCTGCTTACCATCTAATGGGAGAAGACACATAACACATGAAAAAAGAAAGCATGGGGTATGCTAGGTGGTGGTGCGTGCAACGGAGAAAAATAAAGCGGGAGAAGGAGAGTATTTGTTGGGGGAAATGGCTTATGTGGCTATCTTCAGAAAGAACATTCCAGGCAGAGAAAAGAGTAGGTGTCAAGACCCTGGGGTGGAAGCATGTCTGAAGATGGAGAAATCCGAGGAGGCTAGAGTGGCTGGCAGAACATGACCAGGAGAAAAGGGAGCAGCTGATTTCAGAGAGGGAGCAAGGGGCCCAACTGTGGAGAGCCTTATAGCCCACATAAAGACTTCAGCTTCTACTCTAAATAAAATGGGAGGGGCGCCTGGGTGGCTCAGTCGGTTAAAGCCTCTGCCTTCGGCTCTGGTCATGATCCCAGGGTCCTGGGACCGAGCCCCATATCGGGCTCTCTGCTCGGCAGGGACCCTGCTTCCCTCTCTCTCTCTTTGCCTGCCTCTCTGCCTACTTGTGATCTCTGTCTGTCAAATAAATACATAAAATCTTTTTAAAAATAAATAAATAAATAAATAAATAAATAACATGGGAAACATTGGGACATTTTGTGTAGAATGACATGATTTGTATTGCCTCACATTTTAAAGCAGTTACGAGAATAGACTGAGCAGGGGAGAAAAAAGCAGGGAGACGAAAAAGAAAGCTATGACAACGGTCTCAGAGAAAGACAGTGATGGTTTGGGCCAGATAGTAGGATTGAGGGTAGGAGCTGGATTCTGAAAGTGGGGACAGAACAGTGTGGGCTGAATCATGAGATGAGTGCAGAAGTCAGAGGTCTGAGAGTGCCCTGGGCAGGAAGCCTGGGGTTCTCAGCTGGAGTTTCAGCCCCTCTCAGGTTTACAGTGTTACCTGAGGAAAGTCACTCAAGGGCTTGGGACCTCATTTTTCACACAGAAAAATGGGCCTTGACACATTCCTGATTGCACGATGCTCAAATGAGTGTGATGCCTGTGCAGAAGTTCGCTTGCTTAGGAATGAATCGCAGCTCTGTGTGACCTCGTGCACTCGTCAGCCTGAGCAACTGAGGCAGGGGGACTGAAGGCGAATCTGGAATACCTTGGGAGCAAATATAAGACCCCCAAACCAGAAAACATTACGATTGTGAGAAATTAATTTAGGGAGTTTGCCTATTAATTAATTAATTAATTAGATTCTTTTTTAAAATTAACATATAATGTATTATTTGTTTCAGGGGTACAGGTCTGTGATTCATCAGTCTTAACAATTCACAGTGCTCACGATAGCACATACCCCATTTACTTAAAAAACTCAGCAATGGTTTCTTTGTGTGTGTGTGTTGTTGTTTTCTTTTTAATTTTTTTATTTATTTTTAGAGGGAACACTGCTCATGAATGGTTGGGGGGGTGCAGATGGAGAGGGAGAGAAGCAGATTCCCCACTGAGCATGGAGTCCCCCCACCGAGATCTCAACCTGCACCTAAATTAGGAGTCCCACACTTTACCCACCCTTGAGCCACCCAGGCCGCCCCTAGGGAGCTTTATTTTTAAAGTTAAATCTCTTTCTTAGAAGGCTAAGAATAGCCATAGAAGAAAGTTTGTTTGTATAAAAAGAAAACTGTTTTAACCAAAGCTTTATGATCTCTAGTTGCAATATGGATTTTGTACTCTTTAAACTTATATTTATAAAATGTTACCTAGTTGGTGATTAATAAATTTTTACACGCTCCCCCAAATTCTCATCTTCAGTTTTAGTTTTATTTAAGCACAAAGGCTTCTTTTGATTTTCCCTGTCTCTGAGGCAGGTTTATCACCACCTTGGAATTTTTCTAAATTTTTACCAGCAACAGAAATATGTGATTGAATTATTCTAAGTGACTCGAATGTTTACAACTTTCCCAGTCTTACATAAACATGCAAAGCCCAAGCTGCCTCTTTCCAATTCACAAATTTAGAAAAAGCATCCTTCCCTGGAACATTCAGAATAAGCATGGAGGAGTTGATGAGCTCCTCCCAGGGGTGAGGGGGCAGGAGTCACAGGGCAAGAAATGTGTTTCCCATGCATTCGTTTTCTTGGACAGAAACCTGCGATTCGTGTTATTCCTTCCTCCTTCTGCCTTCACTGGCTATGACCCTCCCAGGTCTTGTCCATCACAACCTATTACTCTAAGTCCAACTCTCTCAATATCCTCCAAGGTAACTGATAAGCCATTTCATAAGCCAATTTAATTGAATTACAAGTGTACCTTGCTTTATCACACCTCACAGACACCGTGTTTTACAAATTGCAGGTTTGTGGCAACCCTGCCTCAAGCAAGTCTATTGGTGACATTTTTCCAAAAGCATTTGCTCAGTGTACATCTCTGTGTCACATGTTGGTAATTCTTGCAACTTTCCAAACTTTTTCATTACTATTCTATTTTTTAGGTGACCTGTGATCAGTGGCTTTGATTTGCTGAAAGTTCAGATGATGGTTAACATTTTTAGCAATGAAGTATTTTTTAAAAGATTTTATTTTTATTTATTTGACAGAGAGGGATCACAAGTAGGCAGAGAAGCAGGCAGAGAGAGAGAGGAGGAAGCAGGCTCCCCACTGAGCAGAGAGCCCGATGTGGGGCTCAATCCCAGGACCCTGAGATCATGACCTGAGCCGAAGGCAGAGGCTTATCCCACTGAGCCACCCAGGTGCCCCAGCAATAAAGTATTTTTAAAGTAAGGTATGTACATAGGTTTTTTTTAGACATAACATTAATGTACCCTTAACAGACTGCGATATACTGTCAACATTAACTTTTATATACACTAGTAAACCAAGAAATGCATCCGAGTCGTTTTATTGTGATATTTGCTTTTTTGCAGAGGTCTGGAACCAAACCCACAATATCTCCAAGGTATTCCTGCATTAGTGATGAAGAAGGATTAGTCCTAGGGCTCTCTGCATTAAGTTATGATGAAATAATGGAATGCTTAAGCATTATAAATATATCTGTTTAATAAAGAGTTTCTTTGGGAAAGACATGAAATCTTCTCAAAAGGTGGTCTCCTTCTTTGCATACTCTTTAAACAAGCAGTCTTTACTATTGTCCATCAGGCCATTTCAGGGGGTCCACAAAAGCCAAAACCTGGCATCATCACACCGCTACATCATTTGCCTTTTTCACGCTCATTCTCCCATAGTCGTGATGTGGAACTTCCCAGAAACTATGGGATGTGTAATGTTGATGTCATTCTGATGGCTAATAGAATGCATGCATGTATATTTTTGTTTTTAAAATGTATAAGCATGAATTTCAAATGTGGTAAATATCAGCAAACACTTCTCTTTAAAGAAAGCTCTTGAGGATCCTCAATAATGTTTTTAAACACATTCTAAATTTTTGAGAATTGCTGCTTTAGTTATCCTGCCTGAGCTGACATGACGTTGAGATAACAGGGCAGGGTGGTAGCTCCGATTAACTTCAGAACTGTAGCAAGCTAATCAGTTTGCAAAGCTGATATCTAGAAACAAAACCAAAAGAGCATATACGAGGAAGTGCTCTCAAATTGACGAGGTCACATCCAAAGGACACAGTTATCAACTTGATGAAGCTTCCACTGGCTAGATCAGGATTTGTGATCTATCTGATTTGTGACTTTGTGATGAATCAGAAACGTTCCTGGCATTTTCTAGTGGGTGAGAGAGGGAGGGGAGGGTTTCACACACAGAGGGAAAATCTAAAGATTATCATTAATGTCCACATTTTCCAAAAGAGTGTCATGAACAAAATACTTAGATTTGACACTTTTAATCATCCAGTATCTTAATACAAATATAAGAAATAATACAGAATTAAATAACATATGAAAAGCTTACTAAATATACAAATATCCAATTCAACAGTGAAAACAACATATACTTTAGTTCTTAGGTCACTGAGCAGAGACAAGAAAGCAAAGGGCACTGCAAATGTCACTAATTTGGTCTTGTGATTTTTAAGAGTTCAAAAATGTTCCACTAGTTAGAACAATATATTTAGAACAAAGGGATTTGTAAACCCATACACACCTTCTCTACTGTTGTGAGAAGTTAACACATGGGAAAAGAAGCCAGGAGAGAGAAGCACTTGAATTGACTTTGAATTGAATTTGAAACTTCCTAAATGCCTGTTTTTATTTTATCATATATTTCCTTTTGAATTCACAATGATTGGTATACAACTGGATCCTGTTATAAGTCAAATGGGACAGGAAATTCTTTTTTTTAAATGTGAGCTGCTGGGCTAACAATACTTATTCTTCTATACAAGTAGATAAGCAAAGTTAAGGTTGCCAATGTTACTTTGCAATGAATTCAGTCTCATATTCATTGTGCTAAATGTCAGTCACAGAAGGACATGAAGGACAGAAGTGAAACCAAGAGTTCTAGGAAGATCACTTACTAACAGAGCAGTGAGCAGGTAGAGGACTACCACCACCACATGAGGAGGAAACACATTTGTGGACCTAAGAACAATATAGAAGAGATCAAACAGCAACAGAAAGGTGAAAGGTCGTCTCAGAAAAGTTCTTTGGTCCTTAACACCTTCCCGTGTTCTCCTTTCTCTTTTCCATTTCTTGATTCCTCTTTTCCCTGGAATTATATCAGTTTTTAGAGCAGATTGGCAAACTATCTTGTCCAGCTTCCTAATTTTCTAGATGCAGGTGTGGATGCTCATTGAGATAAAGTGATGAACAGAGGGTTGCCCTCCGTTGGAGCCAGAGTCAGCCTCAGAGTTGTGGCTACTGATTCAAAGTCCAGTCTCCATTCAACAGCACAATACTTCATTGCTTCACAAAATCAAGTCCTACAACAGACTTGAGAGGTAAAACGACTTCTTTTAGAACTCCCACAACCACTGGGTAGCTTAGATGGCAGTAGAAAATCTTGAAATTCTTAGGTCTTTTACCCCTACCTCTTCTGCTCTTTCTGTCCCTCAGAGAACCATCCTTTTCCTCCTGCCTTCCTCCTGAGTCAGATTCAAGTAGACCAGGGCGTAACTTTTCAGGGTTCTGTGTGATTCCTCTATGGCTCTGGATAAAAGAAAGATCAAGATATTAACTTCAAACATTTAGAATGTCTATCCTAACATATTTGAAGAAGATACATAATAGAAGGATCAGTAAGAATAGAATACACCTGTGCATATTTCATTGGCAAAGATAAGTACATTTCTGACCCAATGTGATGTGGGGAGACCGTGACTCTTTCCAAGGGACATAAGTAATTCTAAGAAATAATGTTTTGCAGAATCACTTAGGACTATTAGGACTAAAAGTTTAAAAAAAAAAAAAGGTCAAAGAATTCCAAATAATCTACATTATTTTATTTATAAGACCTTGAGCTTTGTTCTCTGGATACTAACTCATGGGACATTGGGCTGGAAATGGTCACAAAGTAGACCTTCCAGGGGCTTTTTCTGGGCTACCAGGTTTCCAGCACCTAAACTGAAAAGGCATGCAAAGATCTGGGATTTTATCTTGGTGCTACCTCTCATTCTTTGTGTAATCTTAAGTAAATAAGTACAGTTTTCTTTACCAGAAACTCGAATATTTAAAACCTGCCAAAAGGGGCACCTGGGTGGCTCAGTGGTTAAGCCTCTGCCTTCAGCTCAGGTCATTATCTCAGGGTCCTGGGATCGAGTCCCACATCGGGATCTCTACTCTACAGGGAGCCTGCTTCCTCCTCTCTCTCTCTCTCTCTGCCTGCCTCTCTGCCCACTTGTGATCTCTGTCAAATAAAATCTTTAAAAAAAAAAAAAAAAAACCTGCCAAAAATTCCAGTATCTGCTGTCTGTGGTAAAAAACAGAACAGCTCGGGCAAGAATGTCGAGACTGAAGGTACTGCTAGCAAGTAACTCTGTCAACTGGTCATGACATTTTGATATGATGGATGGCTTCTGCCCCTTTTCAAGGGTAAACTCTTGTAGAAAAATATGTTGGAATGCAAGATTTCTCCCAGAATTTTTGACCTAAGCAGTTCAGTAAAGATTGCCTCACATTTTTCTCATATAAAACACCTTATTTCTTCTGCTTGGAGCTATGAGGAAACTGGGGCAGGATGTTGGCTACCATTCATGCAGCCTGCCTCAGGGAGACAGACATAAGTACAGTTTTTATGCAATGCAAAGATTCTTATTATTTTAGAAGCAAATACTCTTTGTATTGTCCTAACTGGTCACTAATTTCATTATATTGTTCATTGGGCATTTCTGTTATTTGATATAGTACTTGAAGAAAAAGTGAAATTTGGCATACGCACTTCATAAGAATGTCTAAATTTTCTATTGTTTGCCAATTCTGCCTTGGCTCAAACAAACAAAAGAAAACTAGTACTCAAGACAAAAATTTCAAAAACCGAGGTGATTATCTGTCTATTAAGATCTGCCCCAAAGTGAGGTTAGTTTCTGGGAAGCATGTAATCATTGCTGGGTTCACTAATGAGAAATAAAAGGTTATTCTCAAGCCCAAATTTAATTTCATTGTAGTATATGTGGAAGGGGCAAATTTATGACATCAACACGGCTTTAGTAGCAAGAACTGTTATAGAATGGGAGAAAATTTCCCTAGGAAATTTTATTTTATTTTTTCACTTTCTATTTTAGTAATAAAGTACTGGATTCACAAAAGAGAAAGAAAAGAGGATGTTCTTTGAAAACATATCAACCTATTATCTTACTGCTGTAGTCTCATGGGAAGTAACTGCAGTGATCCCATCAGGAATGTTACAAAGAGAAAAATGCCTCTAAGTCATCATACCTTCCTCCAGAGTGCACCTTTACTGGTGAAAAGACCACCACCATTCTTTTTGGCATTAAAGAGGATCTCAAAAAAAAGAGAGTCTACTTTTTCTACAAAAATAACCTCATCATTAGAGATCATGCCTCTATCCCAAAACTATGCATCTGCTTGTGCTTTGTGTGCAAAGAATAAGTGATTTTGATCTAATATAGACTTTGCTGTTGCCGTCCTTACTTATTTAACAGAGTCGAACCTTACTTAACTAGATTCATCTTACCACTGAGCGGCTTCCTAGAGAGGATTCTTTTCTACTCACATTCAGTGAGTTCAAGAGTTAATTTATCCCTCGTCTCCTCTTTCTCTCTGCATGAACCTTGAACACAAGCATACACACGCTCACACATATTCAGTTCCCCCTTTTCACTTCCTTATCTTTAAACACATCACAATTGTTCCAGTCACTGGGTTCAGGAACTGAGTGTCATCTTTGACTGATCATGTTTCCCTGCCCATCCAAAAGCATTAGGTGTTTAGGAGGATGGAAAGAAAAAGAGAAGAAAAAAAAGAAAACCCAAAGTAAGGGCAAGGAAAGAGAAGCAAATGTAGTAGGTCCATTTGTTTTTGTCACAAATTGATAGTCAGAATTTTTTTTCAAGATTTTATTTATTTATTTGACAGAGAGAGATCACAAGTAGGCAGAGAAGCAGGCAGAGAGAGAGGGAGAAGCAGGCTCGCTGCTGAGCAGAGAGCCCGACACGAGGCTCGATCCCAGGACCCCGGGATCACGACCCGAGCTGAAGGCAGAGGCTTTAACCCACTGAGCCACCCAGGTGCCCTGATAATCAGAATTTTTTTTTTTTTTTTAAAGATTTTATTTATTTATTTGACAGACAGAGATCACAGGCAGGCAGAGAGGCAGGCAGAGAGAGGAAGGGAAGCAGGCTCCCTGCTGAGCAGAGAGCCTGATGTGGGGCTCGATCCCAGGACCCTGGGATCATGACCTGAGCCGAAGGCAGAGGCTTTAACCCGCTGAGCCACCCAGGCGCCCCGATAATCAGAATTTTTTAAAGAAATTTAAAGTGTCAACATATTCTATGGTTTTCTTCTCTTTCTCCCAACTTTTTGTATAACTTCAGTTTTGGTCTTGAGTGTTTAAGTCTCCAGCATAATAGACACTTAGTTTTACTAGCTATTTAAGTAAATGGGACCAAATGATCTGGCTGTTAAAATATTTGAAACCAGAAAAAAATTCAGTCACCCAAAATATGACACAGAACATTCAATGTAGTTAACTGATTTGGTCATATGTCATGAAGGCATCATCCGTAAACGGCAATCCCAGTGCTTGCAAGATTCTACAGATGTTCAGGTGTTTATTTTCATAAAGGAGAAAAAGTTCGGAAACAAAGTTAAGTTTACTCCCCTTGCTTCAGGAACTGGAAAAAAACATTGAACAATAATGTTTTCCAGAAAACCCAAGACCTACTTAATGAACAAAGGACAATGAACAAAGGACAAAGTGCCCCATTCTAGTGGAATTTACCTTGGGCTTAAATGATTGTATTATAAGATTCTTGTCCAACAGGGACTTTTTAAGATGAATTTGAACACTTCATACTTCTTTCCTCACACTTTCCAAAAGAATATAGCAGTAACAGCAAACAAGGGCTAAAATACATGCAACCCAATAGTGCCTTTCAAGTCAGGACTCCAGGACATAGCTGGAAGAACATTCTGGCAGAGGTCAGCTGACCAAAACCAGGGTTCTAGTCCTAAGCCTGTTGTTAACTAGATGTGTGATTTTAGGGAAGGAAGTCAATTTCCCTCTCTGGCTTCAAGTCCTAATGGGAAAAATGAAGTTTTGGGGTAAAGTAAAATCAAAGAGCCTTCTGCCTTTGACATTCTGCAGAGCACTAATGAATTCTATGGGCCTATGTTTATATGCATAAAATTATCTGATCTGTAATCTCCTTTTCCCACAGAACAGATTCTTTTATCTACTTTTGCAAAGGGGTCATTGACACTGAAGATGTGTTGCTTTTCTTATAAAATCACAAGAATAATTCTGGTAGTTTACATAAGGCAAAATTAAGTGTCTGAAAAACCTACAACATGAAAGATAGCTTATGATTTAAGTTTAAAAAAAAAAAAACAAAAAACAACAGTTTAGGGCGCCTGGATGGCTCAGTCGTTAAGCGTCTGCCTTCCACTCAGGTTGTGATCCCCGGGTCCTGGGATGGAGCCCTACATAGGGCTCCCTGCTTGGCAGGAAACCTGCTTTTCCTCTCCCACTCCCCCTCCTCGTGTTCCTGCTCTCACTGTTTCTCTCTTGCTGTCAAATAAATAAATGAAATCTTTAAAAAAAAAGAAGTTTCTCAGACCAAAAAATTAAAAAAAAAAAAAAACCAACACTTTTTTTCTTCCCTATCTTTCAGTCATCTGAGATGGAAAAAACTACCCTATCAGCCTTTCAACCCTTGGAAATCCCCATCACACACACCATAAACTGAAGCTTTGCATTAACTTTAATAACTTATGCACTGCCTCCCGAAAACAAACAAAAAAATAGTTCTCTCTCTCTAGCCGACTCCTCTTGTTTTATAGCATCTCATTTTATAATATCTCCCAAGACTTTAGACTCAGCTTTTATGAGGTACTGAAGTTAAAATAAGAAAAAGAGGGGTGTCTGGGTGGCTCAGTGGGTTAAAGCCTCTGCCTTCGGCTCAGGTCATGATCCCAGTGTCCTGGGATCGAGCCCCGCATCGGGCTCTCTGCTCAGCGGGGAGCCTGCTTCCTCCTCTCTTTCTGCCTGCCTCTCTGCCTACTTGTGATCTCTGTCAAATAAATAAATAAAATCTTTAAAAATAAATAAATAAAATAAAATAAGAAAAAGAGAATTGATAACCTCACTTTGAGAATCTATCCAACCATCCATCCGTCCATCCATCCATCCATCCAACCATCCAACGATTCATTCACTTTCTTAATGAAAGTTTATTGAGCACTTAATATACATAAGACATTGTGAGAGCTGTTGTAGGGACAGAGAAAAATTTATAGTCTATAAGGATAGAATGACATGACCTAGTTTTAAGTCTAGGTCACCTGTATGCTGCCTCTAGTGTTTGACACATAGTAAGAGTGTAACAGAGAAAATACTACTTAATTAGTGAGTATACTGGAAAATTTCAGAGTCTCTTACAAGAAGTAGCTGGCCTGGGAGCGCTGTAAAAGGAAAAGAGATTATCCTTCCCATTAACTGGCAGAAGAATACAGCATGGGTACTGAGACTTTTTTCCTCTGGTGTTGCTTATCAGCTGACTCTACAGTGATCAGACAAATATTTTCCACATTTGCTCTCAACAACCCTTAACTTACAACTCTTAACTTACAAATAATTAGCCATTAAATAATCTTAGCAAACGAAGGCAGAAATATCCAGTTTAATGTCCAACTGCATGAAAATGAGCCCCAAAGTCTTCTAGAACACCAGCAACAACAAGCAGAACACATGGTTGCCAACCTTTATTTACATCTTCCTGTGCCCCCCACAGTGCTATTAAAAAATCATTTGTTTCCTTCTTTGTACTTCCTGTGATAACTTACCTCAGTCTTGGTTCCGATGACGTTTCCAGTATAATAAGATAGAGATTAAAACCAGGAGAATTACCAAGGAAACAATGCTTAACAAGAGCGGAACTGAAAACCAAAAGCCTATAGATGGTGAAGGGAGGGAAAGGAGAAACAAAGTCATAAGCAGAAACTGTTGAGGCAAAAAGTGGTCAAGCAATTGTGAAGTTTTTCCTAGAGTGGAGCTTTCAATGAAAATTATCCTCAAATATATACCTAATGAGGTCTCCATTCATGGCTTCATATTATTTCAATAACATTAAGTTAATAATAATCTAACCACATGTTTTCGGTGGTTACTATCCCCTAAGAGCTTTGAATGTATTATTTCATTTAATCCTCAAAACAACCCAAGAGTTAGGTATTATTATCATCATCTCACATATAAAAACAACAACAGAACAAAAACTGCAGCTCAGAGAAGCTAAATAAGCCCCAAATCAGCCGAGTAAGGGGGAGAACCAAAGCTAGGCCAGAGGTCACATCCCATTAAAATAATGTATTTACTGAAGAAGTTGCAGAAAATACAGAGAAATATAAAGGAAAAAAAAATCATGAATTTCATGATTCCAACCCCTAGGGTGACTCATCTCAATGTTTTTATTGTATCTCTTCTCATCTATGTCTTTGTTATTAATTCTCTTTCCAAAGGCTCCTCAATGTCACTCCACAATACTACAGCAGGGAAAGAGCTTCCTGATTCCATAGTTCCCAGCGTCTTCCCCATCCTTCTGTAGGGGACTTGTCACATCCTAATTCAACTGAACCTGTTCAGAGAGAGATGCATCTAACTTCCATAGTTACGATGCATGATAAATGCTTGAAGCACGGATGACTTTCAGTAAATGTTTGTGGAGTAAACAAATGTTACACAAATGACGTATAAACATTATAAATGACATAAGTCAGTTTTGGCATTCTTGGACAAGACATGTTCTTTTTCAGCTTCTCGCTCTTCAGGGAAATTTACCCTCTGCCTTGGCTGAAAATGAAGATCTCTTTACAAATGTCCAGATCTAAGACCACAAAACTTTTGCCCAAATTTACTTAAATGTTGACATTTTGATTAGTCTGTTTTTTTCAGGGACCCCAAAAATGACTACAGAAAATGCTCCCTAAAGGCCACCACATCCGTAAGGCATAAGGGGAAAGTTTTTCTAAGCTTTAGTGCTTAAAATGCTCCCTGAAAGGGGCACCTGAGTGACTCAGATGATTAAGCATCTGACTTCGGCTCAGGTCATGATCCCAGCGTCCTGGGATCGAGCCCCACACCAGGCTCCCTGCTCAGCAGGGAGTCTGCTTCTCCCTTTCCTTCTCCCTCTCCACCTGCTCATGCTCTTTCTGTCTGTATCTCTCTGTCTCAAATGAATATATAAAATCTTCAAAAAAAAAAATTCTCCTTGAAGAAAAACGCATCGGTACCTTTGTAGGAAGCTTATGACTGGTGCTTCAAAGCCACACAGAGAAAGAAAATTGTGGCTATTCCCAAAGTGCCTAAAACTGCCACTCCCTTTATTCTCCCACCCACAAGCCTCTCTTCTTGTGTCCATGAGGTCCAGAGCGAGAAGCTTAGAGAGAAACACAAGAAAGCAAAAAGGGTCTTGCTCAGGAGGCAGTTTTTCAAAGGGGTGAGGAAAACATTCTCAGATCGACCCCTTTCTTAAAAGATCTGTGGCCCCTCTTCCACAGTGTAAATGATACAGAGCCTTTCTCCTAGATGTCACCTCTTCCAGGAAATCTTCCTGATCCCTCTAGACTGAGCTGATCCTCTCCTCCCCACTCTCAATCCTCCCAGGGTGAACCCGAGTGCACCGTAGCTTTCCAACTGAAGCATTTCACACAGTTTTATAATTGCCCACTGGATATTCCCAGTAGACTCGAAGCTTTTTGAGCAAAGAGACAAAGTCCTGCTTACTGTCATGTTTCAACAGTCCCAAACCTGGCACCCAACAGACGTTAGCGGCATGGGGGGAAAAAAAGCACAGATGGATCTCAGCAAATGCATGTGGTATGTGGGCAACATACCATAGTTACTAAAGTAAAACTGGCTTTACTCGTTTCCTCAACTCTCTTTTTCTTTCCCCACTCACTCTGTTCTCTCCCTTATGAACTCCTTGGCTAAGCGGCCAAGAGGTTCTGTAGAACATTCACCACTTGCCAGTTGTGTGGACACAGATCCACCCACAGCCTTCTCTTACCTTTATCCACAGTTTGCGTGACGCTGGTCACGTTCCCCAGGTGAAGCACCTGGCAGACCACCTCCTTCCCCACCTGACTCTTGGGGTCTTTGACCTGGAGGACGCTCGTGACAGATGTGGTCCCATTGGGGTGGGAGAGAACCTCAGTACTGTTGTCAATCCCTGACCCAGACACCTTCCAGGAGATCACAGGGGCTGGGCGGGCATTGGCAGAGCAAGTGATATTCAGGTGGTCTTCGAAGAATTTATAGTGAAGGAACACTGTGGGCTGTACTGGGACAAAAAAAAAAAAAAGAAAGAAAGAAAGATGGTCTGCCATCAGTTAAGCACCACATTCTCTTCAGAGGATGGAGGAAGATCTTTACAGAAAGACACTGGGGGCTCAAGAGGTGAGGTGTGGCGCATCTAACCCAAACTGGGGCTCCTCAGTTCGTTCTGTGTCTAATCCTCTGGCCAGCAGGATAGAAACAGGCCTAGGACAAACCTGGAGCAAGAAAAATCCTCTCTGCGGTTTGTCTGTAGGGGAATTAGCTGAAGGGGTAGAGGGGATCCTCTTTCTCACATAGTCCAGAACTTAATTATTCTGTTCTCCTTTTCCATAGACAACACAGCATCTCTGGCTTCTTCTGGGTGTCCCTCTCACAGTCTGACAGAGGTCACCTGTCAGCACTGCCAAAGAGGGAGGCTGACCTCTCATAAACCCCAGGGCAGTTTCAGACCTGAGAGCCCACAGAGGGGCTGCTGCTTAGAGATGGCTTTTCTCTGCTTGGAGCTGGAGCAAGGAATGATATGCGTGGAGGAGACTTGGAAAGTCCCTGCTTGGAGTATCTACAGAAAATGTAAATTGGAAATTCACTGCTGATAACAAGAAAATTGCAGAATGACAGTTGAAAGGACCTTGGAGATCACCTGATGGAGTTAAGAGAAAATGGCTAGCTTACAAGAAAAGCGTATTATGTTAGTCCAGCTTTTACCCTGTTCCTTTTCAAAAGTTCCTTGACCCATGAATTCATTTTCATCGTGTACTTTCAATATACAGTTTATCTCAGCTGAGCAAACACAGGCTGGCTTTCCTGTGGTTGCTCTGGAGCCTACAAGATAATTAAAGGCCAGTAGCTAAAGGAAAGCCTGGTCTGTGTTTAGAGGTTCAAGAGGTGGGGGGGTGGCAGTGGGCTGGAGGAAATGGGGCCAGAGGACTCTGGCTTCTTCCAAAGAATACTCAGATTACTAAAGTCAATGGGCAGTAGGGGAAGACAGATAAAATTGAAGGAAGAGGAGTGTGGTTGATGTGGTGAGACATGGTGAGACTGGGTGGCAGGGTTCTCTGGTGCATCAAAGGAAGCTCCAGATAGAATCTATAAGGTGTGGCTGGAAAGGATCGGTGTGGAAAAGAACAGGATTACTATCCACAAGACTCAGGGGCGTGTGGTTTTCAGATTAAAAAAAAAAAAAAAAAAAAAAAAAAAAATATATATATATATATATATATATATAAAAGTTTATGAGTGTAGGAGGATAGAAAAGAGATGATTAAAAAAAGGAAGAAAGAAGAAAAGAAAAAGTAACAGAAATGAGAAAAAATGACAAAAGAAGGAAAAGAGGAAAAGTGAGGAGGGAGGGAGGAAAGGAAGCAGGGAGGGAGGGAAGGAGGAAGGAAGGGAGGAGGAAAAAAGAAGAGGAAAGAAGGAGGGAAGATTGGAGGGAGGGCAAAGAGGAAAAAAGGGAGACAAAGAGACAAAGAGAGAAAGAGAAAAAAAAAGAAATAGATTCAAGAAGAAAACCTGGCATAAGATCATGCAGAGAGTACTCATTATAGGCGAAATAAGTGAAAGAAACCTTTTTTTTTTTTTGCTGTTGCCATACCTCCCTTGCATTCGTTTACTTATCCTCCTCTTACTCCGTGTCCAATATTCTTGGTGTGTTCAGACTCTCACTTTAACATTCCTGATAACCCTGTCTGAACTTTTTTCCCTTCTAAAACTACGTCCAAGTGTGCCATGCTCCAAAGTTACCCTTATTCCTAGTTCTCAATTCTTGATCTCAACTATGTGTCAGTTAAAAGGAAAAGAATTATGTCAAACTAAGCCTCTTGGATTTAAAAGAGTGCTTGTTATCCAGTTAAATACCTAGTCGACATCAGGTATGAAGGGTCTCTGTGGAACGTCCCCTTACCAAACCTGAGAGAATGTGTTGGAACAAAATGAGAGGAACCACAATGACTGGCTCTGGGTAGGCCCAATCTGGCTCTGTCCTTAGATCCAAAACTGTTAAAGCTTTAACGACCCTACAGATGATTGATTACGTACTTACTGAGCAGATAGATAAACTCCGGTTCAGAGAGTGGATGGGATGCTCCCAGGGTCACATGACTGTTAATGGCAAAGCCAGGTCTGAATCATATCACTACTTATGAAGAACCCGTTATTCCCACCATGGTCCTTGATTTACGCTTGCTGACAACACCATTCCTCAGAGCAAAGATAACTCCAGCCAGAGATTCAGGGTAGCCCCGTGAGCTTTCCAAATAACAATAACCACAGTTATAGCAGACATGAAAGGCTAAGTGTCTTCTCATGAACCTTTCTGAGGTTAGCATCCTGAAAACCTAGGCACTACCACCATGTTCCAAACATTCTTGAAAACAACATTTCTAGCCAGAGACAATGTATTCTCAGAGATTCTCACCAGAGAGGGTGAGGCAGGCTATTCCTGAGATCTTCCCAGAACCAAAAGTATTGAAGAGGCACTTGTAACACCCTTCATCCTCCAGGGTTGTATTCCAGAACGTGATGGTTGAGTTCTTGAGTTCCAGCTCGGTGATGTTTATCTTGTCCTTATAGGCGGGCTGGACCACAACCCCATGGTTCTTGCTGAAGGTGACCATGTTTTCTGGGCTAACAGGCTTGATTTTCTGCCATGTCACAATCAAGACTTCCTCAGAATTTTGCAGAGAGCATCTTAAGGAAGCAGGTGTGTTCAGTGGCCTTTTTTCATTTTGGGCCACCACTTTTATCATGGAATCATAAAAGAACATTTATATTTTTAAATTTAATACATAAAAATACACATTTTTTTCTGATTAAAAAATGCATGTTCAAAGTTAAACATAGAAAAGATAGAGAAAAATGCAAAGAAAATATTTACCTACATCCCTAATTGCTAGAGAAATATAAGTTCAAATATGTTTACTCAATCTTTAAGAGTAACAGAGTAAAAAAACAAGAAAGCAAACCCTCGTGACAGAAATGCCTCAATGAATCCCTGCAAGCTGAAAGTATGAAAATGAGGTTGGAGATGAAATTTGCCAGAGAGAATAGAAGCATCACCAAGAGTGTTCATGCCTAGAGGTGCAAAAGCAAGGAAGGGCCAGTAGACAATTGGCAGAGTGATCCGTTTAAGTGAAGAAGATGTAGCTACCCTATACATTCCACACGCACGCCCTACAGAGAAGGGGCAGCAACAGCAGGGTCTGCCTCCAGGAAGCAGTGGTGAATATAGGAACCTAAGGTAGAAAAATATACCAGACGGTGTTTCAGAAGGCTACATAGTACCAGAAGGCTTTGACAACCAAATAACGATCTACGCATTCCCACATTTTTACTTAATGCCATGCAGAATATAAGGCATGACAGTAACTTCTTCCCCTTCCAATGCTGGCTACTAATATTGATATGATAGATGATTCAGCAGGAAATCTTCATATAATAACAACTAGGCAGACATCTGAGAAAGCTGACACAATGAGAGAAGAAGGAACTCTACAAACCCAGGAATTCATGCCAAATGAATAATAAATCAATAAACACTTTGACATGAATAAATGTGATATCTTAAATGTAAAAAGAAGCCAGCATTGTAAATAGTAGAAATCAGAGTTGTAGAAAATGACAAATGCAAAATCTTAACGATTTGGCTGACTTAGCAGAACGGACATCACTAAAGGGTAAACTAGTTAAGTAGGAAACACAGGTCATGGGATTCTTCCAGAATGTGGCACAGAGGGATAAAGATATGGAAAAAAATTGAGAAAAATTCAAAGACCCAGAATGTTTCGGCATCAGAACTTTCAGACTTACTAGAAGGAAAAAGGAAGAATGGGAGACAAAAACACTGTGAGGGACAAAAATGTATTCTCCAAAATGATAAAAGAAGCTTTATGTTGGGGTGCCTGCTTGGCTCAGTCAGTTAAGCATCCAACTTTTGATTTCAGCTCATGTCATGATCTCAGGGTCATGGGATTGAGCTCCACGTCAGGCTCTACACTCAGCAGGAAGTCTGCTTGATATTCTCTCTCTCCCTCCCCCTCTCACCCCCACATTCTCTCTCTCTCTCTCAAATAAATAAAATAAATCCTTAAACAAACACACAAACAAACCTTTCTGTGCCTAACAACGTAAATGAAACATATAAAAAGCCATAGAATTGAAAAGAAAAATTTTAAATCCACAAAAAATAATGGGAGAATTTTCCAGTTTGCTCAGAATTTTCACTTCCATAAATTAAAAAATAGAGATAAAACAAAAAAGTCAAATATAAGGATGAAAAGTTTTGAAATGAATATTTATATATAAATCATTACATATAAAAATTGTATGTGTATGGATATGTAAGTATGTATTTATAAACTTTTACCCAAAGAGAACACACAATCTTTACAAACATTCCCTCAAACTGAACTTGAAACAGGATGCAAAAAAGCTCCTACCCTACGACCTTGCACACTGACCACAATGCAATAAACAAGAAATTTACATACTTCTTTCAACTCTAATTACACCAGAAATCATAGCAAGAATAATCAATTACCATAAATAACAAGGAGACTAGAATGTATTAAAATCCATAGAAATTGATAAAGCCATTTTCGGAAGGAAATATTTAATCCTAACTTCACTAGGAAATAAGAGAGATTGAAAAATGAGTACACACATTTATCCAAACATCCCAGGCCCCCAAAAGATTAAAAACAAGTGAATTAATATGGATAAAAGCACAAATTAATGAAATGGTAGACAACATGTAGACTTAATAAAAAACACCAAAATCTGTTGTTGTTGTTTTTTTTTTTTTAATGAGTAACAGAGAGAACATGTTGGCTAGCATAATTAGCAAAAAAAAAAAAAAAAAAAAAAGAAGCACTATCCTCTCAGTGGCCCTTCAAAAATGTTAAGGTAAGGATGACAAGGTAGGTATAGCAACAGACACAAATTGGAACCCAGGAGTGTTGTAGAAGTATTGTTTTAGGGATGTACACTCTTGGTAGATGTGAAAACTTTTGGAGGCTATACCTGTTGTTGGGGTTTTCTGAAAGTTTGTTGAGATTTTGCAGAGAAGACATTTGAAGAAATTGCTGCTTTTAGAATGGAGAGTAGAAGAGAAACCCAAGTTAGAGTTTCAACCTCTTAGGTGATTTTTGTATTTGACTATGGAAGAAATAATTTAATGGAAAGTTTAGAATTCTTTGATGCTTCTATGGAATGCCATTTAAAGTCCCTCTGGTCCATTGGTAAAGTCTGTGCTATGGATGGTGAGAAGCCTGCCCTGTCTCCAGCTGTGAAGGCTGATTAGAAAGCAACAGCACGTGGAAGGTGATAGAAGGTAAGCAAAGTGAGGGGATGCTTTCCCATGGAACAGAGGAGAAATGTCTGGCACAAGCAGGAAACTCAACGAATAAGTGGACAGCGCAGGCATATGCTTTATATAGACTTTATATAGACTGTGAACCTATGTAATAATTTCATTATTTTCCACAGTCTTCTGCAAAAGAGGGGTATGCCCAATTTAAAGGCTTACTACCAGATTACCTTCTACGAAGGGTATATTCATTCAGACTCCCAAAGTGTTTCCATATCTTTATAAACATAGGAAATTATATTTAAATAACATTTAGAACTCATTTGTTTTGATAGGTGAAAAACATCTTAATTTAGAAAGAATTTCTTCATGTCTGGTTTTATCCTTAGAAACAGTTTCTAAATATTCAAAGTCTTTTTCCATTTCGAAACCAAAAATGTGGAAAGCAGAAAGAAACACTCCCATTCCTCCAAGCAAATTACATGTTTAAATAATTCATGCAGACAAACGAACTAGCACAGCACAAACAACACTAGCCAGATGTCTCCACTCCAGAAATTGTGCTCCCTGGACCCCATGCAGGGGAACTGGGTATCTTTTTACCTTGCGCCCTGCATGGCATCACTGCTGCAAAGAACCAAATCAATCTGTAGGCAGACAGACGACAGAAGGACCTCCTGAACACCTGAAGACAGAAAGCAAAGCAAAGACATGGGCATTTGCATGTGGACAAAAAGCTAAGGAAGCTTCAATCCCATGGCCATCTCAGGGAATGCTGCAGCTAAAATTTTAACCACCAGATAACATTGGTTTTGTGGATGCAGAACCAGAGACTACAGATGGAAGAAATAAAAGAGTGTGCTCAGCAGCAATATGGCTCCTGCATTATGGCAATCCCTAGCACTTTGAGGCCTTGCTCTCAAAACCACCACTGTCAAGAGCAAGGTCTCAAAGATGTAGGATGGGAGGGGAAAACAGACTGCCGGAAATACACACAAAAAAACACAGAGACTACAAACGTTGGACAGCAGCCATTTCCCAAATAATCCACATCTGTTAATATCAAAGACGGTAACTCAGGGATTGGAACCACTTTTCAGAAAGATACGACTGCCTTAAAGTTTGCTGAAGAAGATTTCCCTGAAAATACTACAAATTTTAGATGAGTCGTACCTTTTAAAAAAAAATAGTAATGTCCAGAGGCACCTGAGGGGCACAGTTGGTTAAGTGTCCGACTCTTGGTTTTGGCTCAGCTCATGATCTCCGGGTCCCTGGATCAAACCTCACCACCAGCTCTGCATTCAGGACAGAATCTGCTTGAGATGCTCTCTCCCTCTCCCTCTGTCTCTCCCATTTGTGGGCGTGTGCTGTCTCTCAAATAAATAAATCTTAAAAAACAACAAAAAAATAGTGTCTTTGGTTTTTTTTCTGCATTGTTTTGTTTTCATCTGTCCAGGCAGAAATCCTTGGCATTTTTACATGATATTTAATTGAATGTTATTCTGGGTATCATTTTATTATAAAAGGAGAGGGTGGGATGTAGACAGATGAACTTCTCTCTACAGTAGCCCCATGGATCCATTCACTTGATCTACATGTGTGTGTTCATAAGGGTACAGGCGAGAAATGTCGTTTTTCCCCACATTCTTCTATACTAGAGATGTGTAAGAAATGTAGGTTTCTCTGTATTTATCTTTACCTGAATTTCGTTATTTCATGTTGCCATTCCAACTAGAGGTAGAGACTTCCTTGCAGTCAATATCACATCATCTCTGTCAATTCATGCCCCTGCCACCCCCGCCCTTCACAACTGTCCCAATCTTTGGCATTGCATCTCCATTCTTGGAGGCTCACACAATGCCAAGTCATGGGACAGGACTACTAGTCCTTGGTCACAATCTATCCACTGTAGCATTCTCTAAGATGGATGGGTTGCCCTCCGGTCATCATGGTCATCAAGGTTCGTGCAATTAAACCTTGTGCTTAGAAAGTGCCTTCTCTCATTCTCTTTCATTCTCCAGATTCCATGCCCCTGGGTTCTCCCTGTATGGGGCAAAGGGAAATTCTATAGGCTCTCTGCCTAGACTCGCATGGATCTGTCCATCTCTGTTTTACTCTTGCCTTGTCATGATGAGGAGACTGGTCTCTCTCCAGTTTCCCCCAGATAAGCAAGGTACAGGTGTTCTCTGTTCTTAGATTTCAGTACCTCTCTGTAAGTTCTAGTTACCATGCTCCTGAACTCCCTCCCCACTCACAGGGATCAGGTACGAGCCTGCATTTTCAGAACACAAGCTTGTGTCAGGCCCTCTTTGCTCTCCCTTCCTAGAAAATACAAACCCTAGGGTCAGGAATGCTGGTTCTCCCATCCTCTGCGTTCTTCCCATCTGGAAAAACGTATGTCCTTGGTTTTCCAATGTTTACGCTTTTAAAACTCAAATGCTTAGGCTCTTGCTGTCTCAACACCTTCGCTTCCAAAACTTAAGTTTTCTTTGGCACTCTACTTCCACACCATTTTTTTTTTAACCGTATGCCTCTCCCACACATGAAAACTCAAATTCTAGCAAAGAGGATGAGGAATACAGAATGCATTGGCTCTCAGAGTGAAAATCTGTGTTTTAGGATAAGACAAAAAGTAGATACACACCACAGTGTGTGAGATGGGAGCCAAGAATGTTGAAGAAGGAAAAAAACAATGATTGAGGCAAAGGAATTAGAAGGAAAGCCTTGCTATTAAATATATACATAATTATTCTAGCTGACTGACGAGTTGGGGTTAACACAAATCCACTTCAACCCCTTGCAAAGAGGGCCAGGCTTCCCAGAGATCTGTCTTACCTGACAGCTTCCCTCTGGCAGCCAACTGCTCCTATCCATGCCTCTTTCCCCTGAGTTTCTAGGTGTAGATCTGCTCCCATCACGTGTAGTTGCATGGACTTGTGAAAATTAACCTCTCTGTTTGTTTCCTTATTTGCAAAATCACATAACAATTCCTCTTCTGAAGGATGGTTGTGAAGATTAGCAGTACACAGTGCTCGGAGTAAACACGCGCTCCCAGGCCACCATTCTCCTTTGTTAAGAAAGATACTGAAATGACTGGCCCTGCGGTCTGGCCAATAAACCATATATGGAAAAAAAAAAAAAATACCTTGAGGTATTACTTGTATTTGGATTTTAATTTTGTTTTGGTACTATTCTTTTCAATTATCCCAGTGTAAATAAAAATCGGCTCATTCAGATCCGTAATAAACAAAATGTCTGTCTCTCTTGGATACTCTGGGGTTTAACCCTGATTTATCTGGCCCTTTCTGGCTCACAAGGCAGAGGACTGAAGGATGGAGAAAGAGGCGGGTGCATCCAGGAGGGAGAGAGCTCTCCCGCAGAGAGAGAGCCCTGAATTCTGTAGCGCCCACCCCAGCTTTGTGTGCCAACACGGAGCCAAAGCAGCCATCCCTTTCTTGGGACAGAGTACAGCAGGGTGTGCTTTCCTGCGTTCGAGCCGGAGCCTGCGAGCCCAGCCGCCAGCCTGCCCAGAGGACCCGCCGGCCGCCCGCGCGCGCCTCCCGGCCCAGTTCCCCTCGGAGGACCGCCGTGATCTCGAGAGAATCGTCTCCGTCGCCGAAGCCCCTAACTGGCAGCATCCGTCCTGGACAACTGGCACTGAGTACCGGGACTCCAGGACCAGCCTGGGAACCACCCTCCTCGAGGCGAAATCCTCTTCTCCGCAAGGCTAAGCGTCGCGGGGAGAGCGCCGGCACCGAGGCCAGCGCCGAACCGGTCCCGGGCCAGCCGCAGCCGGACGCGCTGAGCCCGCCGCCGTCCCCGGGGCCGGAGCGACATCCCCCGCCCTGCGCCCTCGTTCCACGCCCGGCCCCGCTCACCGGCCTCCCCATCGTCGCTCCCGGCCGCGCGCGATTGCCGGCTTCAGCTGGAAAGCCCGGGGGTTCTCACCGCGGCGCGCGGAGCGTCTCTGGCTCAGGGAGGCGGGCCAGTCCCCGCCCTGGTAGGAGGCCGCGCGCCCCCGAGCACTCCAGGATCCTGGGCACCGGGGTTTCCAGTTAAATCCCCCACCTTTAAACGTTTCCAGTTCTCGAGGGGACGGTTGGTGAAAGTGAGAAAGCTCTGTGAGGTGGGGGATACACTTTTTCCATTTTAATTTCAAGGACAGAAGGAAAACGGGGGAGGTGAGGAGTCATCCGTTGGTCTTTAGCACTCAGGACCCGCAACCTGCATCGTCAAGCAGGTGTGAAATAACAGGAGGTGGTGAAACCGAAAAAGAACAAAGGCTTTTCTTGGGGGGTCTTGGAGTTACAGTACAGAGAGCACGGGTTGCGGGAAACCAGAAAAGTGCTGTGCTCTGGGAGGAAAGGCAAGCGGTTTTATGAAAAAGAAGGGGTGATTACATGATGCACATAAAGAAAATAAGAGGGAAAGGTGCTAATTTGTCCCTGACCAGTGGAGCCATTCTGATAACTATGGCTTTATTGCTGCTGTCAAATTAAACCTTCTCTACTATGTATTTACTACCTTTGCTGTCTTCATATGACCTGAATGCCAGTTGTTGTGTTGAAATTTAACTGTTTGTAAAACTATTGTCCCTTCTGGCTCAGTTCAAGAGTTCATTAGTTGGAAAGGAAAATGGAGCTTCAAGATGGATTCTTCTCACGTCCAGAAATATTATACAATTCCACACAGGCATGTCAGAAATGAAGATTTTGAGAAATGTTACTCAGTTTCTCCAGATGTCACCCATGAAAATTTTTTTTTAAATGTTTTAAGGCCGAATTTAACCAATAGACACTTTTTAAAAAATGCACATTTATTTTTATCCAGAATCAAATTCTGTATTCAAACTGTAATGATCTCTTCTTTCAGAGTGACTGGTTGGTTGGTTGGTTGGTTGGTTGTCTTCTTACTGGGAGGGATTTCCTTCCACTTGCTTTGATGAGAAGGATTCTTTTTTTTATTTTAACAAGTTCCAGAGTTCTTGGCTCTTAGAGAAAGAGAGAGAGAGAGGGAAACAGATCTATGAATTATTTATTTCCTGAAACCTTCCTGTTTTCCTACCACCACCCTCTAACAAGGTGCTAGGAAAGAGCTTTTATTTAAGGATCCATGGGCCTGTAAATCCGAGGGCTGTAAATTATGAGCTTTCCAGACAAACGTAATCAAAGGATTAAATGATTCGTGGGCAGCCACACAGGATACATAAAAGAAAATCAATTTATAGGCAGAGTATACTCACATTAAGAAGATCAAATTAAGAAAATCAAGGAGATGGACACTGGGGAGGGTATGTGCTATGGTGAGTGCTGTGAATTGTGTAAGACTGATGATTCATAGAACTGTACCCTTGAAATAAGTCATACATTATATGTTATATATGTATATATATATAAAAGAAAATCAAGGAGAAAAGTCTAAAAAAACTTCAACAATGAGAGACACACAAAGGACAGAGGATCAAAGTGACATTAAATGTCATAAGGTGGTGCCTGGTGCAGGAAGACAAGGAGTTAATTTTCACATTGAAGAAAAATAACTTTGAATTCCACGTCATCTTTTATAAACCCTGCTTCACAGGTATATTTATTTTTTTAGACTTTTTTCATCAAAGGTATCATTTGTAGAGGAGCACGCAAATATCACAAGCATGCAACTTCAAGTGTCATAGGGTAAACCTACTCACAAAGCCAGAAGCACATCAAAACCTGCACATTCCCAGCTCTCCAGAGCTTATCACTACCACCTCCCAACTCTCACTAACCTACATTTAACCTCCTAGACTAGGCTTGCCTGCTGGTACACATCCTATAAATGGCATCAGAGACTCAAACTGCTCTGTGGGGAGCCTGCTTCACTCTCTGCCTCTGCCTGCCATTCTGCCTGCTTGTGCTCTCTCTCTCTCTCTCTGACAAATAAATAAATAAAATCTTAAAAAAAAAAGAGTTTTTTTCTAGAAATTAATTGAGCAAACCTGTGGCAAAAAATTACTGAGAAAATTGGGGTACCTGGATGGCTCAGTCTGTGACGTGCCTGACTCTTGATTTTGGCTCTGATCATGATCTGAGGGTTGTGAAATTGAGGTCTTCATGGGGCTCTGCACTGGTAGTGGAGCCTGCTTAAGAGTTTCTCTCTCCCTCTCCCTCTAACCCTCCCCCATCACTAAAAAATTACTAAGAAAATTAGAAAAAAAAAGAAACAATATAGAATGAAATATGAGAAGTAGAACTGACATAACAAATAGAAAAAATAAGACAATGTTATGAACATTCATATCAAATTTGAAAACACAAAAATGGATAAAATTCTGAAAATGACAAGCTGGTCATAAAAATTTAAAGACTGACACTTTAACAATATTAAGTCTTCAAATATATTACTGGGATATTGTTCCATTTGCTGTGTCTCCTCTAATTTCCTTCATTAATTTTTTTAAGTTATCTATTTTTAGTAATCTCTACACCCACCTTGAGCTCAAACCCAGCTGACCCAGACAGGTGCCCCTCATTAATGCTTCGGATCAGTACGAAGTCTTTCACCTCCTTTGTTAAGTTTGTTCCTAAGCATTTTACTCCTTTTGGTATTATTGTAAATGGAATTGTTTTTCCAAATTCCTTTTCAGACAGTTCATTGTCAGTGTATAGAAACACAACTGATTTTTGTGGGTTGATTTTATATTCTGCAACTTTACTGAAATTGCTTATTTGTTTTAAAAGTTTTTTATGGAGTCTTTGGGATTGTCTACATATAAGATCATGGAATCAGCAAACAGGGACAGTTTAGGTCTTCCTTACTGATTTGTATGCCTTTTTTTTTTCCCCTCCATTAATTACTCTGGCTAAGACTTCCAATATTATGTTAAACAAAAGTGACAAGAGTGAACATTCATGCTGTTTTCCTGATCACTGAGGTCAAGCTTACAGTGTTTTACCATTGAGTGGGTTGTTAGCTATGGGTTTTTAATACATGACGTTTATTATGAAGAGATACTTTCCCTCTTTCTATACCTAGTTTCTTCAAAGGTTTTATCATGAAAGTGTTTAGAATTTTTTCAAATCCTTTTTCTTCATGTGTTGAGATGATCATGTGATTTTTAGTCTATTGTGGTTAATACAGTGTAGCATGTTCATTAATTTTCAGATATTGAATTATCCTTGCATCCCAGGGATAAATCCTACTTGGTCATCCTGTATGAGCCTTTTAATATGCTATTGGATTCAGTCTGCCAGTATTTTGTTGAAGATTTTTACATCTATATTTTTCAGAATATTGGCTGGAAGCTGTTTTTCTTGCGACATCTTTGGCTGTGATGTCAAGGTAGTGAAGGGCTTCAAAAAATTAGTCTGGAAGTATTCATCCCCTTCAATTTTTCTGAAGGAGTTTGAGAAGCACTGGCATTAATTTTTGTTTAAATGTTTGGTGGAATTCAGTGGTGAAGCTATACAGTCCTCGCCTTTTCTCTGTTCAAAGTTTTTTGATTTCTGATTTACTCTCCATATTAGTTATAGGTCTATTCAGATTTTCTACTTTATGACTTAATCATGGGAGGTTAGATGTTTCTAGGAATTTATCCATTTCTTATAGGTTACCCAGGTTGTTAGTGTGTAATTTTTCATAATAGGGTCTTATTACCCTTTTTATTTATAGGACATTGGTCTTCTTTCATTTCTGATTTTATTTGAGTCTTCACTCTTTTTCTTAGTTTAGCTAATGGTTTATCAACTTTTTTTATCTTTTCAAATAACCAACCTTCCGTTTTGTTCATTTTTTCTACTATTTTTCTTTTTTTTTCTAATTCATGTATTTCTGCTCAAATCTTTGTTACTTCCTTTTGCTAACTTTGAGATCAGTTTTTTCTTCTTTTTCTAGCTTTTAAGGAATAGAGTTGGGTTTCTTATGCAATCCCTATCAAAATTCCCATAGCATTTTTTGACAGAAATTTTAAAAGACACACAATTCTATAATTCACATGGGACACAAAAAACCGTGAATAGTTAAATCAATCTTGAGAAAGAAGAATGAAGCTGGAGGCATCATGCTTCCTGATGTCAGAAGTACAAAGGGGCACCTGGGTGGTTCAGTGGGTTAAAGCCTCTGCCTTCAGCTCAGGTCATGATCCCAGGCTCTCTGCTCAGCAGGGAGCCTACTTCCCTTCCTTTCTCTCTGCCTGCCTCTCCACCTACTTGTAATCTCTGTCTGTCAAATAAATAAATAAAATCTTAAAAAAAAAAGAATATAGTACAAAGCTACAGTAATCAACTGCAGAACTGGTATAATGACAGACATATGGACATTGGGAATAGATTAGAGAATTCAGGAATAAATCCACACATTTGTGGTCAACCACTTTTTACAAGGGAGTCAAGAACACACAATGGAGATAGGATCATCTCTTGAATAAATGATGTTGGGAAAACTAAATATCCACATTCAAAAGCATGAAAGTGGGCCCTTCCTTTACAATGTCAGAAAAATCAACTCAAAATAGATTAAAGACTTAAATGTAAAACCTGAAACTATAAAACTCCTAGAAAACATGGAGAAAGGTATATTAGGGTGATTTTGGCAATGATTTCATGGCTATGACAAAAGTACAGACAACAAAAACGCAAATAGACAAATGGGACGATATGAAGCTAAAAAGCGACTGCATGGCAAAGGAACAACAGACTGAAAGGGCAGCTATAGAATGGGCAGAAATTCTTTCAGGAGTCCTTAGAAAACAGAAAATTCATCACAAGAATGCAAATATTGGTTTCTCACTGTTATTAATGCATCTAAGACTGTAACCTATTTGCACATATTTGATCCATGAAACAGGAAACAATTACTCAGATACACCGGCAAGTAGTTCCAGGGTAGGCAACAGCTTTTGGTGGCTTTCAGGGTTCATTCTCCACATGAATCTTAAAGGTCTTGACTCAAGCCCAAAATGTTTGTGGTCCTCCAGTCCCTTGCAGACCGTTTATTGCCCTGAGCCTCTGCATCTTAACTTCTCTCAACTTGGAGTTACATCATTTGGCCTAATGAGTTTCTAAAACAAGGTTTCATTTTATCTAGGGCATGTTTCCAGGTATGTTTTTAAATTAATCAGTGCGAGTGATAAAAGATAACTTGACCTCTGGAAAAAAGTTTCCAAACCATCTACCTGATAAGAGATTAATCTCCAAGGGGAACCCTCCTACACTGCTGGTGCAGCCACTCTGGAAAACAGTATGGAGTTTCCTCAAAAAGTTGAAAGTAGAGCTACCCCATGACCCAGTAATCACACTACTGGATATTTACCCCAAAGATACAAATGTAGCGATCTGAAGGGACACATGCACCCCAATGTTTATAGCAGCAATGTCCACAACAGCCAAACTATGGAAAGAACCTAGATGTCCATCAACAGATGAATGGATAAAGAAGATGTATATCTACAATGGAATACTATGCAGCCATCAAAAAAAGAAACCTTGCCATTTGCAACAACATGGATGGAACTAGAGGGTATTATGCTAAGAGAAATAAGTCAACCAGGAGAGGACAATTATCATATGATCTCTCTGATATATGGAACTTAAGAAACAAGACAGAGGATCATAGGGGAAGAAAGGGGAAAAAAAAAAAACGAAACAAGATGAAACCAGAGAGAGAGAGAGACAAACCATAAGAGACTCTTAATCTCAGGAAACAAACTGAGGGTTGCTGGAGGGGAGAGGGGTGGAGGGATGGGGTAACTGGGTGATAGACATCGGGAAGGGCATGTGTTATAATGAGCACTGGGTATTATATAAGACTAATGAATCACAGACCTGTACCCCTGAAACAAAGAATACATTAAATGTTAATTAATTGAATTTAAAAATTTTTTAAAAAGGCTAATTAGTGGCAGAATTAAGACTCCGTCGAGTGGGTTGGGGGGAAGAAAGGTTAATCTCCAAAGCATATAAAGAACTCCTGAAATTCAACAGCAAGAAAACTAATAACAAACTAAAAAATAGGCTAAAGATTTGAACAGATACTTCTCCAAAGAAGATATAAATGGCTAACAGGTATGTGAAGAAGTACTCAATGTCATTAATCATCAAGGAAGTGCAAATCAATACCACAATGAGATATTACCTGACACATGCCAGGGTGGCTGTTATTAAGAAAACAGGACAGGGGAGTGGGGGAAGATTTCAGAATAGGAGGATTCTGAGTTCACATCCTCCCGCTGACACACCCAGGCAACAGCTACATGTGAAGCAGCTCACTCTGAAAACAACTCGAGACTGGCAGAATAGACTTTTCACAGATAAGACATAAACAGAAGTCCCATTGAAAAGGGTAGGAAGGGGAGAGATGCAGCCATGAACCAAACTTCCAGCAGGGTGACCTATAAGCAGTAGGGATATCACAGGTGCAGAGGTCCTCCTTGAGGACCAAGGGGATCAAGCCCCACATCAGGCACCCCAGGCTCTGATACGGGGAAGGGAGGATGAAACCTCATAATGATGTGGGAAACAAAGGCAAAAGAAATGCAGCTTAAATTAAAATTGTCTTACAGCTTGCAGCTCACTGCTAGATATCTGAAACATGCAAAACGTGACCTTCCTCAAGGAGATCCTGGCTGCCTTAGAGACTTAATGTTTATTTTATTTTATTTTATTTTATTTTAAATTAACATATCGTGTTATTTGTGTCAGGGGTACAGGTCTGTGATATCATCAGTCTTAACACAACACCCACCATAACACATACCTTCCCCAATGTCCATTCCCCAGCCACCCCTTCTCGCCATCCCCCCTTCCCTCCAGCAACCCTCAGGTTTTGTTTTCTAAGATTAAGAGTCTCATGGTTTGTCTCCCTCTCTGGTTTAGTCTTGTTTCATTTTTTCCTCTCTTCCCCCATGATCCTCTACCTTGTTTCTTAAATTCTGCGTATCAGTGAGATCATGTTTAAAAGTAACCATATCTTGGCAGCCGCAGGCCCTTCCAGATCCTGACAGCCTTGCTTCCAGATTCCTTGGAGACTTGTGCTATCCCTAACTCCCATGAATTACGAAGTATGCAATCAGTCACTGCTCACGATCCCAGTTTAGCTCTTTCTGTGCACAGGTCCTGTCCGCGAATAGGGAAGGGATGAAGGTGTAGGCTGAGGAAATAGGAGGCCCCTGACCTTCCTGACTAGGCTTCACAGCTATTGCTGGCAAGTGGAGACGCTGAGACAGAGCAGAACAAGAGATAAGGGAGCACGCCAAGACAGCGCAAGAATCTCAAGGCCACAAGCTTCCCGGTCAGTCCTTAATAAAAGACCGCCACTAACAGCCCTCATTTGGCAACCCATTCGGGACCCCTCTCACTCTAGAGAGCTTTTTCTTTCCTTTCTGCTCTCACCTTCACTTAGTAAACTTTCACTTCACTTTACCCTTTTGTGTCCACGAGATTTTCTTCCACTCCGTGAGACAGGAGCCCTGTAATCCTGCAACACTAACATCTGGCTTTGAAAATCAGCAGGACTTAACTCCAGGAGCTTTGAAAATTGGTGGGGCTTAATCTGGGGAGAGCCAGAATATAAGATACAGGATACAGGATATAAAAATGGAGACTCTTAAGGGGGCGGCACACCATATCACTCTGAGACCCAGCACAGGAGCAGCAGTTTGAAAAGCACCTGGGTTATCTACGAAGGAGATTCATGACTAATTTTAGCATGTCTGTGAATTGCTATTGTTAATTGATATATATTCAGATAGATAGATAGATAGATATCAATCACATCTTTTTTTTATATATATCCATATATATATATTTCTCCCGTGTGTGTGTGTGTATATATATATATGTATAAACATATGTAAATATATATAAATATATATATATAAATATTCAGATAGATAGATAAATAGATATCAATCACATCTTTTTTTTATATATATCCATATATATATATTTCTCCCGTGTGTGTGTGTGTGTATATATATAGGTATAAACATATATAAATATATATATATATATTTGTCCTGTCCTATCTTCTTTATCCATATATATATATATCTCCCATATATATACGTATCTCCCATATACATATATATATATATTTCCCATATATATATAATTTGTCCTGTTTTATTTATAAATATAAGCAAAAAAATATTCCCAGAATGGTTTAACACTAGATATCTCTCAACGTTGTTTATCATATTAATGGACTACTATAGAAAATTCATATGACTATGTTAACAGATACAAAATTACTTAAGTTCAACAATCTATATATGATAAAATGACAGAAAATAGAAATATTTAAATACCTTCTAAACTCAATAATATGCTTAATAGCCAAACACTGCAGCAAATATTATATTTAGTGAAATTTAAAACAGTCTTTAATTGCAGAAAAGCAAGACAAAGGTAACTAGTGTTATTTAACATTAAAAAAGGTATAAAGATTAGAAAGAAAGAAACAAAAATGTCATTCAGTGCACAAGAGATGATTATCTAAATGGAAAACTTTTAGATAAACAGAAAAACTATTAAGTAATGAAGAGTTTACCAAAGTTTCCAAATTAACCTAAAAAATTAACCTAAAAAATCCTAGCAAGTTAACCTAAAAAATCCAGAGCTTTTCCTAAATCACTAATAACCAGCTAGGAAATTTCGCTAAAAAATTAAAACATCATTCATCATAGTGAACAAATTAAAAGTACCAAGGAATTAATTTAGCAAACACAAAACCTACAGAGAGAAAATTTTAAAACTTTCCTAAAAGGCATTCAGAAAGACTTGAATAAATAGATAGCATATTTATGGGTGAACTAAATTATATTGTACAGATAACAATGCTCTCTAAATTAAATTAATCTGTCAATTCAATGTAAGACTAACCAAAACTCCAGCTATATTTTTTAAATGAAATAAACTTATTTCATGATGTGCATGTGTGTGTATGTATCCCTGAATGGGATGTGTCTTTAAAAAACACAAAAAGGGGTCTCTCCCTACCACATTTTAACATAACATAAGACCATAATAAAAAACTACATGCAATCATGAAGAAACAAAAAAATTAAACCATGCAACAAAACTCTCTACTTGAGAGAGCTAAAAACAGAGCTCATCAATAAGGAAAAGGACAGATTGTATATAACTGATGTTGGGAAACCTGGCTCATTATATGATGAAAATTAACAATATATGTCATTCCAACATTATGTACAAAGGTTAAAATACTTAAATATGAAATAGAAAAATACGAAGCTAATAAATGCGATTATATTTCTGTGAATTTACACAAATGATGACTTCTTAAATAAGTCCCTAAACTCAAACTGTTAGGTGAAAAATTGATGGATTTAACAACATCAAAGCTTAAAGATTTCTGTTCTTTTGATGATATAACTGAGAAATTTAGTAGAGTGGTACCAAATAAGGAGAAGTAATCACTGCCTAGTACATAAAAAATCTAGGAGAAGTAATCACTGCCTAGTACATAAAAAATCTAGAATATTCTGCAAATACAGACAACCAACCAGAAATTACATGAAGATATAGATAAGAACCTCACAGAAAGGGAAACCTGAATGGGAAAGAAGTACACAAAGACATGCTCATATTTATTAACACTCAGGGAAAAAAAAAAAACAAGCCCAAAAACAAAATCAAAGCAGTCATTCAACTGGTGGTATTGGTTGGAAGGGTCCTGAATTAGGGGACGAATAGAAATATTGTTCTTCAATTAACATATGCTTTGCCTGATATGAGGAATTTGAGAGGCAAAGTGGTGGGTTTGGGGGGTAGGGAAGGGAAAAAATGAAACAAGATGGGATCGGGAGGGAGACAAACTATAAGAGACTCTTAATTTCACAAAACAAACTGGGGGTTGCCGGGAGTTGGAGGAGTAGGAAGAAGGTGGTTGGGTTATAGATATTGGGGAGGGTATGTGCCATGGTGAGTGCTGGGAAGTGTGTAAGCCTGACAATTCACAGACTTGTACCCCTGGGGCTAATAATACATTATATGTTAATTTTTTTAAAAAGGGAAAAAAAAAGAAAAGAAATATTGTCCTTAATACAATTTCACATGAACCCACTAGTTCATGAAACGGGATTATATAAACAAATCTGTTTCCATTTATTTTTCAAATGATAATTACTTCTACCAAATGGATGATTTAATATGGAAAGTTAAGTCTTAAATTTGAATTATGCACAATGACAGCAAAAGTCACACACCTACCAATTACCTGTATACAGGAAAAACTTCGTTGATTAAAGATTCCACATCAGGCTGACTCAGCTGGGGTGTGGTTTCAAGAGCATTCTCTGACCTATAGGTAGGATGACATTGATAAATCGGTAAGCGGAAGACAGCCCAAACACTCCCCCTAATGGCAATAGATTGCAAGAGTATTCTATGAATAAAAATCGGGAGATTGAGATCTCTTTAGAGATTGATCAAAATATGTTTTCAGTGTTTAATTCAGCATAAAAATACTCCATTAACAGAATTTGAAGGTTGTTTCTACCCTATAATAGTAAGAGTCATAACTTACGATTTGTCCTGTTGAAGAACATACCCAATACCCACTACACTCCCAAATGTATACCTCTCATCTGCTCTGTAACTTCCAGGTTCATATATAATTGACATATTCTCTTGGATGTCAAATAAGCATTTAAAAATTAACATGTTCAAAATAGAACTCTTGATCCTCCCTAAAAATTTGTTCTCCCTCTAATTTTTCCCCATTTATAAAAGGTTTCTTCAATCTTTGTTGAAATGTTTAGAATCATCAAGATAATTTCTCCCTTTTCCCCTTTGCCCACATCTATCCAGGTACAAATCTTGTCATCCTAAACCTCTCCCTAATTCCTCAGTTCCAAGGGCTACCACCCTAGTCCAGACCACTGTTGATTGCCAACTTCACTATGGCAATCACCTCTTTAAAAACCTTCTTTCATTCATTCTGGAGCTCTAAGAGATTTTGTCCATGTTCCAGTGACAGAGATCTTTCTATAGTGTCAATCAGATCCTTCTACCCTCTTGTTTTAAATACTTCAATAGTTTGGTATTCTAAGTAGCAAAAATCCCAAATGCCTTTCAAGGCCTAAGGGCCTTAGCTGTTCTAAAGCCCATCTCTATTTCTAAATCATTGTTCTATGCACACTTACCTCATTTTGTCCTGGGACACACCAAGCTCATTCCCACCTTGGTACCTACAATAACTCCTCCTTTTTTGTCTGTAATACTCTTCTATGAGAATGTCACTCACAACTCTTTTCTTATCCAGGTCCCAATTTTAACGTCAACTCCTCAGAGCAACCACTCAGTATAAACTAGTCCCATAGTCTCTTTCAATTACATCATTTGCCTTATTTTCTAAGTAGTGTATATCACCAGCCAGTGTTCTCTTGCTTCCTTTTAACTTTTCATTGACTATCTCTCCCTATTGAGACATACGCTTCTAAAATTTTTGTTTATTTGTGTCTCTATTGCCCTCACTGAGAATAATGCATAGCAGTTCAGACACTCAAAAGGTATCTGTTGAATAAATAAATAGATACTTTATTACGTTAGTCCTATAAAGTGAGACTACTTTCATCTTACTGTGGCTTTGTGAGGTAGATTTATCTCTTGCTTCCAATCTCAGCCTTCTTCACCACTCAGTGGATCCCCTCCCACCAGCTGTCTGAAGTTCATATGCTCTCTCCTTCAAATCTGTTCTAAAGGAAGACTCTTAGGCTCAATTCACCAGAAATGACTAACAGCATACTTTTATAACAATCCCAGTACGGTGTCATTTGAACAAGAATAAACTCTTGACTGCCGGAATTACTAAGTAAATAGAAAAGAGTTTTGCATCATCATTCTTTCCATGATAACTTTTGCCAAAACCCTTGATATGTCCTTTCTTCATATTTAAAACTAGCCCCTATTTTACCTATCTTCCCTGACATAGACAGGTAGAATGCAACTTACTTTTTCTTTCTCCAAATAAGATAGATAACAATTGACAAAAAACATAACAGAAGTATGGGTAGACCAATGATACGCAACCAAGTATAAGGAGAATGAGAAGTACCTGAAAGACACAAACCAGAAACATGTTCTTTGGGACTATACTTTCCATACATTACACTGCCATTTTGGCACTTTAAATCTGCCAATGATCTTTTGATTTGCCATTGTTTTGTTGACATTCAAATTGATACTATGAGATGATTGGCCATATTCAATTTTATAAAAGAATATGCTAATGTGTATTCAAATTGAACACAGACAATATTTAATACCATTTGATGACACTCAAGAATAAGCAAAAAAGACAAAACCACCCAAATATTCAACAAAAGAAAATGTTTAAGAAAAATATAATGTAGTCACATTGAAATACTATTCAGTTACTAAAATGGAACTTTCAAAGAATCTGCTAAAGCCCCAGAAAATAAACTTTTTAATGATAATAATTAGTATTTAAGATTAATGTGTTAAGTGATGTGATAAGCATCTTATAAGGGTGATTTACATCAACTAAGTACGGTTATTAGGTATAGATGGGGAAACAAAGGCTCTGAGACGTTAAGAAAATTGTCCAAAGATTGATAGTGATTAAGTGGCAAAATTGGAAAGCAATTCTGTTCTGTCTGATTTTAGAGCCTGCAGTCTTATGAAAAGAAATTATGAAATTTTAAATACCAACACTTCATGATAGCTATTTTGACCATGGTGTTCCTAAATTGTATTCCAAGCCACTTCTTTCTATGTAGCCTTCTGAATATAATTTATATTTTCTATTTTAATTAAGTTTAACCAAAGGTCATCATGATTATCATGATTCTTAAAATATAAGAATATCTAAGAATTCTTAGCTAATTCTTAGATATAAAAATGAACCTATACACTATGTGATGGACCTCAAGGAAATTTGTACTTACATTAAATGGCATGAATTATTGTACATTTTGTATTCGTAGGTCTACTTCTGGTATATTTCAGGGTCCTTTTTCTGATTGAGATCATTTTTCTGTTCATTGTTACCTCTTATTTCTATTTAATTTGCTGCTTTCAATTTTTCATTACCATTGAAGAGAAATTCTTGCTACTAATTACTTCTTCACTGATACTATTAGGAAAATCCATGTGAGAAATTTTGTGATTTATTTTTGACTATTCAGACATCACTTGGTTTCGGTTTTTAGTTTTAACTATTTTTTTTTATACTTAGCTCATTCAAAATGGGTGACGGAGGCTGAATGGGCCTAAAATATGAACAGAGCCCTGAAGTAGGCAATAATAAACCATGGGAATAAAGTCTCTATAGAAGAACTCAATAGAATCAGGGGTTTATATCCCTAAAATTTGTTACAAAGCTAAGGAAGGAGGAATTCTCTTTTAAATTGATAAGTTACTCCTTTACAGACAATTGAAGCTCAGTGAGAAGTGAAATTAATATAATAATCCAGCTAATAGATTGATGGGAGGTACATGTGGTATTCAATGGACATACTCCAATCTCATGATTTGGGGAAACTTTCAGAAAAAAAGGAGCTGATTAAACTCAGTTTCAAGAAATACACATAACAAAATATTTACCTCTACTCCTTCCTATGATTTCCTTAAAATTATAGTAACAAAAATAAAATGTTTAAATGAAAAACAACAAACAGAAGAGTGATCTTCACTGGCATGAGATTTCAACAAACTTACCAAAGGTGTAAAGTGGGTAGAGGAGTGGCTTTTGAAGGTGTAGGATGAGAGAAGCTACAGGCTCCTGTATGCAAAAAAGCAGTTGATGTCAGGCAGAGACAGCCCTGCAGAACCTGGAGAGCATTTGTACTCAGAGGGCAAAAGAAGGAGGGGTGGATCACAGAATGAAACTTAGAGTCGAAAGTACCCATTTATGTATCTGAAAACAGAATTCTGGAGAGGCAGGTGTGCTTAATGTGCAGCCAAAAAAGAAAAAAAGAAAGAAAGAAAGAAAAGAAAAGAAAGAGAGAGAGAGAAGAAGAAGAAGGGGCAGTTAAGTAATTTAATGAATATACTGGAAATAAATACAGTACAGAGTCAGAGGCCCAGAGTATAGCCCTCCACATTTTGGCTTCTCGATTCTCCTGGCTAACTGTTGAGAGCAGCAGCCTGCTTTCTGCAAACAAAAGTCGTTCTTTACAAGATACAATTAGCCAAATAAAGATTCTATAATTCTCCAGTCAGGGCTCACCAGACTTTGAATAAAACCTGTAATCAAAGTAAGAAAGACTGAGTAAAAGAAACGTAAAATTAAAATGATGGGGAGCACCTGACTGGCTCACTCAGTAGAGCATGTAGACAATTTCAGGATTGTGAGTTCAAGTCCTACATTAGGCATAGATCGTACTTCAAATTTAAATAAATAAATAAATACATACATATGGTAGTGGGTCGGGGGGAGAGTGGAAGAGATAATTTTAAAAACAGAAGATATTACAATACTTCTAAATTATTATTCCCAGATAGATTTGACAAGATATTATTTTCATACAGCAGGAAAAATTGGATATGAAAAATAAATCAATTATAAAATTAATCTTAAGTTGTAAAAGCAATTAAAAAATATAAACCTGATTGTCAAAAGAAGGAAAAATTAAATTAAAGTGTTCAAAGATAATTTTTTAAAATCTCCCTGATACTATGAAGAAAAGAAAAAGAGACATATTTTTTAAAAAAAGAAAATAAAGTTCAATTGAAATGTTTTAATGTCCACTTAATTGAGGTTTATAAAAAGAGAATAAGTTAAGTGAATAGGTGGAAAATTCTCAAAGAAATAAGAAAATATTCAGAGTTGAAGGATTTGAGTCTCCAAATTGTGTGAGCTGATTAAATGCCAATAACATTGAAGTATTAAAAATAAGATTAAAACCCTAAAAATAGCACTAGGACGTTTCAGAACTCTAGATAAAGAGAAGATACTGTATTATCAGAGAGAAGATACAGTAATATTTACTATTATGATTATCTGATTGACATTTGACTTCTCAGCAGTAACAATGGGTGATCAAAGATAATGGAGGAGTAGTCTATAAGATCTGAGGGCAGAAAGATTGTTAAACTAAATTTATGTAACAAGCAACCTATCAATCACATGAAACAGTAGTCATTTTTTGTGCTTTATTTAGGTTAGTCCACAGTTTATTTAATTCACAGACTAATGAGATATCGTAGGTTTAAATGAGGTTATGGTTAACCCATCTGGACTATGTACTAAGCAACTTATTCCAATATTCCCATAGCTGGTTATGCAGAAAAACTGTTAAACTTCCAAAAGACATGATGTCTCCTTCATTCATTCAAACTTTATGATTCAGTGTCATTGATGACTAGTGATGCTTTTTGGTTCTTGGATGATTATAACAAATTATGGAGAAATCCTCACCATTTTCCTGAGTCTACACATTTTCCAAAAGCTATGAAAAACATTAACCCACAGACTCAAGAAGCTTAAGAAAATACAAGCAAGATAAATACAAAGAACGTGACACCAAAACACTAACAATAAAACTAACCTAAAATAAATACAAGGAAAAAGTCTTAAAAGCAGCTAGGGTGAAGAGGAGATACATTCCTTTCAAAGGACAACCCATAAAACTGATATATACTTTTTCAAAGGAAATAATGAAAGTCAGAAGCTAGTAAAATACCATTGTCAAAGTGATGAAAAAAATAACTATCAAAACTGAAATTTAAAAATCCTATAAAAATGTACCTCAAAAGTTAAACATTTTATGACCAAAAATATTAAAAGAATTGGCCATCTATACATCTTCGCTAAGGAAAAAACTAGAGAGAATTCTTTAGGCAGAAGATAAGTAAAACTTTGAACATAGACAAAGAAATAAAAAACAATAGAAAGGATAAATCTAAAAGAATATTACTATGAATAACAGGAAAAAACAATAATATATTTTGGCATTTAAGTATATATAAAGAATTAAAATGAATAAGACATACACCTGAAACTAATATAACATTGTGTATCAACTATATTCAAACAAACAAAAATTTAAATAAATGAATAAGTTAAATGAAATGCACAAAATGACAACATCAAGAGTGGAAATTCATATAAGCTTATTGTATTACCTGAAAAATAATAAAAATAATAAATTATATTAAGCTCTAATAAGTCAAGAGATGCAAGTTGCAGTCTCCAAGTGAACCACTTAAACTACACGGAACATATAGTTAACAAATTAATGGAGGAGGTAAATGAAACAAAAATAAATAACCCAAAAAAATTCAGGAAGAGAGAGAAAGGGACATGAAACAGGTCAAATAATAGAAAACAATAGTAAGATGGTATATGAAAACTCCAATATACCAGTATTTACACTAAATATATAGAGAAAAAAATGCTTCAGTGTCAAAAGATTAGGTGAAATATTTATTTAAATTCTATAAGAAATTATATAAATGCAGAAACATAAATATATTTAAATTATTACTTAAATTTTTAAGGAAAACCATACTTTGTTTAACAATGGCTTTGAAACAAAGGGTACAATTGACAGAGCTTGGCTGGAAGATAGGCAAGGAAAAATTGGCTGCTAAGAGACTTCCTATGGTGGATGACACAAAAGTAAATTTTACCACACTGTTGAAGGTCGTAGAGGTAATCACCAAAGGAACTATATTGGGAAGAAAACTATATTGGGAAGAGGAAAAGTTGAAGGGGGTGTAAGTGAACCTGATCTTCACTGACTGTGGCAGAAATTCAATGGAAAGCAGTTAAGGTAGATGAATTAAAAATTTGCCATTTAAGAACAGTGACCCTTGGAGGCAGAACTGGGGTAGAGAAGGTTTTCATTACTTCATTCATTTAAGCATGCTCATGTATCACAATGACTTAACATTTCTAAAAATAGACAATTACACATGCACTTCTGATATGAATTTTTAAAACATTTCCCCTTGTTGATTATTACTTCTACTTACATTCTTGTTTGACTGACAAGGGAACAATCTTCTCTTCATTCCTTAGAGGATGATCCATGTGCACAGTCAGATATTGGAGACCTAGGGACCTCACAGCCTCCAAGGAGATGGTGCACATTTTAGTGATAGTCACTGTGCCATTTGGATTCTGAGCAAGGTATTCCTCAGGAGGATTAATCAAGACTTGTGATGGGAAAAGAGATATTTGGGGAACAGGTTTTCCCACAGCTGAGTAAATAAATCTAAGAAAATCTTCAGAGTCAAGATTGGACTGGAGTTCAGTTTTTAATCCAGATAGAGCTGAGACAAAAAAGGAGACAGAAAATTAAATATAAAAAAATGTTAAAGATAGACGTCCCCAAATATTTATATGATGACAAAATGTTGAAACATGTCCCTTTCAGACACCTCTCCTCATATTTTGCAAAACCTCACAATTCCATCTCTTGCACCTACCATCCTCCAATTGAAGAGAAATGCTTCATATCTCCACTTTCATTCAACCTTTAAATTACCTTATATAAACCTCCAATACTTTAAATTTACAGCAAAATAATGAGAAGACACTCTGATACTATCACTATTCTTTCAACATTTTGTTAATTCTTATTGTCTGTCTTCTTTCCTCTTCCATTTTCTCCACTCTTTTTCTTTTCCTCTCTTTCCCAGTGAAAATTCTTTTTTTTTAAAGGATTATTTATTTTTTATGTATTGACACAGAGAGAGAGATCACAAGTAGGCAGAGAGTCAGGCAGAGAGAGAGAAGCAGGCTTCCTGATGAGCAGAGAGCCAGATGCAGGGCTTGACCCCAGGACCCTGAGATCATGACCTGTGCAGAAGGTAGAGGGTTAACCCACTAAGCCACCCAGGCACCCCCCAACCCAGTGAAAATTCTGATGCCATCCATGAACTTTACCTACCAGATTAAAATCAGTGCAGTGTAAAAAGTTAGATGCGAGGTCAGAAGACCTAAATGTTATGCCTGGTCCTGTACTGTGTGAAAATGGAAAATCATATAACTATCATTGGTTTCCATTTTTTTTCTTCTGTGTAACAAAAGCATGGGTGGCCTCTATTATAATCTTTCCTTCTCTGACATTCTTTCTCTGGACCTTAACCTTGAAAGACCACATCCTCAAAATTTTGACTCTACACAAAACATTTACATACCTATAATGGTAAGGCAGATTTGTCCCCCATGGCTGCCATGTGGGAACACATTAAATAGACATTTGTAGCAAGCTTCATCTTCAAATGTTACTTCACGGATAGTTATGAATGAGGAATTGGGTTCGATGACCTCACAGTGCAGTCGATCTCTGTATGGTGGAAGAATCGTTTCTCCATATACACTGCTATATGTGCCAATATTTTGTGGCAAAGAACCTTGAATCTTCTGCCAGGTAATTTGCACAATATCTGCTGGAGTTGTTAAATTGCAGAAGATGGTCACATTTTCTCCAAATACAGCTGTTTCATTATTTTTGTATTTTATTCTGTGTGGGGAACCTGAAAATAAAACTCAGTATGAATTAGGAGAAATGCTCTTTCATACTACCTTGGACTTACCCCTATCATAGCACTTATCTCTCTGTTTTATAATTATCTTTTTATATGTGTCTCTTTCCCACTAGAAAATGAACTTTCTTATCTTCTTCATCGCTGATAAGTGGTTTCTAAAAGTGTCTCTGGCATATACTACCTAATTAATAAATATTTATTGAGTACAAAAATTGAAACATAAATTGACCAACACAAGTAATGGTAATTTTGATGAATTTCTGGAGGTTGAATATGAATTAGCTTGAGGGTAATAAACTCCTCAGGACTCCAATCTTAGAGAGGACCTAAAATTCTGTCAGTTTCGCCAGCATGAACCCCTCCAGGTTCTTACAGTGAAGAGCCAAGAAAAATCACCTCATATCTTTGGCAAAGGAAGGGGGAAGTAACCACATTGAAATAAGCCCAGGCCATTTTCTATTTAAAGGAAAAAACCCTCCTCTCCAGGGAAAAGACTTTACAGGATCCTTATCTTACGCAGGTAGAAGGACAAGGACCGTACTCTGGTTCCCTTTAGCTTTCCTATCTTACTTAAGGTGGGGAAGGAGGAGTAAAAAAGTAAGAAAACTTGTGATGGCCACAGCCAAGGATCAGAGGCCCAACAAAAGAGTGAAATTTGAACATAAGATTTTAAAATACTTCCCTCCCCAACTCTTCATCATCACATCAATAGAGATCTAATATAGTGACAATGGATTACAGCTGATATGGTTGCAAGTCTCAGACTTTTATTAACAAGGGGATCTTAGAAAAATTCAAAATCAGCAGAAGAGACAGAAACAAAAAAAAAACTACATGAATTTGAAACCCTTAAGTATAGACTTATTTAAAGAGTAAACACAACCCAACTCCTTGCCAGATTAACATAAAACCCATGCTAAAGCTCTACTTACTTTGGTTCTTTTATTTTTTTAAAGATTTTATTTATTTATTTGTCAGAAAGAGAGAAAGAGAGAGCACAAGCAGGCTGAGTGGCAGGCAGAGGCAGAGTGATAAGCAGACTCCCTGCTGAGCAAGGAGCTGGATGTGGAACTCGATTCCAGGATCTTGGGATCATGACCTGAACCAAAGGCAGTGGCTTAACCAACTGAGCCACCCAGGCATCCCCTTACCTTGGATCTTATTATCTGATATGTCATGTCTGGATTTCAACAAAAAAATTATGTATGTCATGCTAAAAGCCATAAATAAAAACAATCTGAAGAGACAAAACAAGTGTCCAAGCCAGATTCAAATGTATATATATAGGTATAAACATATATAAATATATATATATATATTTGTCCTGTCCTATCTTCTTTATCCATATATATATATATCTCCCATATATATACGTATCTCCCATATACATATATATATATATTTCCCATATATATATAATTTGTCCTGTTTTATTTATAAATATAAGCAAAAAAATATTCCCAGAATGGTTTAACACTAGATATCTCTCAACGTTGTTTATCATATTAATGGACTACTATAGAAAATTCATATGACTATGTTAACAGATACAAAATTACTTAAGTTCAACAATCTATATATGATAAAATGACAGAAAATAGAAATATTTAAATACCTTCTAAACTCAATAATATGCTTAATAGCCAAACACTGCAGCAAATATTATATTTAGTGAAATTTAAAACAGTCTTTAATTGCAGAAAAGCAAGACAAAGGTAACTAGTGTTATTTAACATTAAAAAAGGTATAAAGATTAGAAAGAAAGAAACAAAAATGTCATTCAGTGCACAAGAGATGATTATCTAAATGGAAAACTTTTAGATAAACAGAAAAACTATTAAGTAATGAAGAGTTTACCAAAGTTTCCAAATTAACCTAAAAAATTAACCTAAAAAATCCTAGCAAGTTAACCTAAAAAATCCAGAGCTTTTCCTAAATCACTAATAACCAGCTAGGAAATTTCGCTAAAAAATTAAAACATCATTCATCATAGTGAACAAATTAAAAGTACCAAGGAATTAATTTAGCAAACACAAAACCTACAGAGAGAAAATTTTAAAACTTTCCTAAAAGGCATTCAGAAAGACTTGAATAAATAGATAGCATATTTATGGGTGAACTAAATTATATTGTACAGATAACAATGCTCTCTAAATTAAATTAATCTGTCAATTCAATGTAAGACTAACCAAAACTCCAGCTATATTTTTTAAATGAAATAAACTTATTTCATGATGTGCATGTGTGTGTATGTATCCCTGAATGGGATGTGTCTTTAAAAAACACAAAAAGGGGTCTCTCCCTACCACATTTTAACATAACATAAGACCATAATAAAAAACTACATGCAATCATGAAGAAACAAAAAAATTAAACCATGCAACAAAACTCTCTACTTGAGAGAGCTAAAAACAGAGCTCATCAATAAGGAAAAGGACAGATTGTATATAACTGATGTTGGGAAACCTGGCTCATTATATGATGAAAATTAACAATATATGTCATTCCAACATTATGTACAAAGGTTAAAATACTTAAATATGAAATAGAAAAATACGAAGCTAATAAATGCGATTATATTTCTGTGAATTTACACAAATGATGACTTCTTAAATAAGTCCCTAAACTCAAACTGTTAGGTGAAAAATTGATGGATTTAACAACATCAAAGCTTAAAGATTTCTGTTCTTTTGATGATATAACTGAGAAATTTAGTAGAGTGGTACCAAATAAGGAGAAGTAATCACTGCCTAGTACATAAAAAATCTAGGAGAAGTAATCACTGCCTAGTACATAAAAAATCTAGAATATTCTGCAAATACAGACAACCAACCAGAAATTACATGAAGATATAGATAAGAACCTCACAGAAAGGGAAACCTGAATGGGAAAGAAGTACACAAAGACATGCTCATATTTATTAACACTCAGGGAAAAAAAAAAAAACAAGCCCAAAAACAAAATCAAAGCAGTCATTCAACTGGTGGTATTGGTTGGAAGGGTCCTGAATTAGGGGACGAATAGAAATATTGTTCTTCAATTAACATATGCTTTGCCTGATATGAGGAATTTGAGAGGCAAAGTGGTGGGTTTGGGGGGTAGGGAAGGGAAAAAATGAAACAAGATGGGATCGGGAGGGAGACAAACTATAAGAGACTCTTAATTTCACAAAACAAACTGGGGGTTGCCGGGAGTTGGAGGAGTAGGAAGAAGGTGGTTGGGTTATAGATATTGGGGAGGGTATGTGCCATGGTGAGTGCTGGGAAGTGTGTAAGCCTGACAATTCACAGACTTGTACCCCTGGGGCTAATAATACATTATATGTTAATTTTTTTAAAAAGGGAAAAAAAAAGAAAAGAAATATTGTCCTTAATACAATTTCACATGAACCCACTAGTTCATGAAACGGGATTATATAAACAAATCTGTTTCCATTTATTTTTCAAATGATAATTACTTCTACCAAATGGATGATTTAATATGGAAAGTTAAGTCTTAAATTTGAATTATGCACAATGACAGCAAAAGTCACACACCTACCAATTACCTGTATACAGGAAAAACTTCGTTGATTAAAGATTCCACATCAGGCTGACTCAGCTGGGGTGTGGTTTCAAGAGCATTCTCTGACCTATAGGTAGGATGACATTGATAAATCGGTAAGCGGAAGACAGCCCAAACACTCCCCCTAATGGCAATAGATTGCAAGAGTATTCTATGAATAAAAATCGGGAGATTGAGATCTCTTTAGAGATTGATCAAAATATGTTTTCAGTGTTTAATTCAGCATAAAAATACTCCATTAACAGAATTTGAAGGTTGTTTCTACCCTATAATAGTAAGAGTCATAACTTACGATTTGTCCTGTTGAAGAACATACCCAATACCCACTACACTCCCAAATGTATACCTCTCATCTGCTCTGTAACTTCCAGGTTCATATATAATTGACATATTCTCTTGGATGTCAAATAAGCATTTAAAAATTAACATGTTCAAAATAGAACTCTTGATCCTCCCTAAAAATTTGTTCTCCCTCTAATTTTTCCCCATTTATAAAAGGTTTCTTCAATCTTTGTTGAAATGTTTAGAATCATCAAGATAATTTCTCCCTTTTCCCCTTTGCCCACATCTATCCAGGTACAAATCTTGTCATCCTAAACCTCTCCCTAATTCCTCAGTTCCAAGGGCTACCACCCTAGTCCAGACCACTGTTGATTGCCAACTTCACTATGGCAATCACCTCTTTAAAAACCTTCTTTCATTCATTCTGGAGCTCTAAGAGATTTTGTCCATGTTCCAGTGACAGAGATCTTTCTATAGTGTCAATCAGATCCTTCTACCCTCTTGTTTTAAATACTTCAATAGTTTGGTATTCTAAGTAGCAAAAATCCCAAATGCCTTTCAAGGCCTAAGGGCCTTAGCTGTTCTAAAGCCCATCTCTATTTCTAAATCATTGTTCTATGCACACTTACCTCATTTTGTCCTGGGACACACCAAGCTCATTCCCACCTTGGTACCTACAATAACTCCTCCTTTTTTGTCTGTAATACTCTTCTATGAGAATGTCACTCACAACTCTTTTCTTATCCAGGTCCCAATTTTAACGTCAACTCCTCAGAGCAACCACTCAGTATAAACTAGTCCCATAGTCTCTTTCAATTACATCATTTGCCTTATTTTCTAAGTAGTGTATATCACCAGCCAGTGTTCTCTTGCTTCCTTTTAACTTTTCATTGACTATCTCTCCCTATTGAGACATACGCTTCTAAAATTTTTGTTTATTTGTGTCTCTATTGCCCTCACTGAGAATAATGCATAGCAGTTCAGACACTCAAAAGGTATCTGTTGAATAAATAAATAGATACTTTATTACGTTAGTCCTATAAAGTGAGACTACTTTCATCTTACTGTGGCTTTGTGAGGTAGATTTATCTCTTGCTTCCAATCTCAGCCTTCTTCACCACTCAGTGGATCCCCTCCCACCAGCTGTCTGAAGTTCATATGCTCTCTCCTTCAAATCTGTTCTAAAGGAAGACTCTTAGGCTCAATTCACCAGAAATGACTAACAGCATACTTTTATAACAATCCCAGTACGGTGTCATTTGAACAAGAATAAACTCTTGACTGCCGGAATTACTAAGTAAATAGAAAAGAGTTTTGCATCATCATTCTTTCCATGATAACTTTTGCCAAAACCCTTGATATGTCCTTTCTTCATATTTAAAACTAGCCCCTATTTTACCTATCTTCCCTGACATAGACAGGTAGAATGCAACTTACTTTTTCTTTCTCCAAATAAGATAGATAACAATTGACAAAAAACATAACAGAAGTATGGGTAGACCAATGATACGCAACCAAGTATAAGGAGAATGAGAAGTACCTGAAAGACACAAACCAGAAACATGTTCTTTGGGACTATACTTTCCATACATTACACTGCCATTTTGGCACTTTAAATCTGCCAATGATCTTTTGATTTGCCATTGTTTTGTTGACATTCAAATTGATACTATGAGATGATTGGCCATATTCAATTTTATAAAAGAATATGCTAATGTGTATTCAAATTGAACACAGACAATATTTAATACCATTTGATGACACTCAAGAATAAGCAAAAAAGACAAAACCACCCAAATATTCAACAAAAGAAAATGTTTAAGAAAAATATAATGTAGTCACATTGAAATACTATTCAGTTACTAAAATGGAACTTTCAAAGAATCTGCTAAAGCCCCAGAAAATAAACTTTTTAATGATAATAATTAGTATTTAAGATTAATGTGTTAAGTGATGTGATAAGCATCTTATAAGGGTGATTTACATCAACTAAGTACGGTTATTAGGTATAGATGGGGAAACAAAGGCTCTGAGACGTTAAGAAAATTGTCCAAAGATTGATAGTGATTAAGTGGCAAAATTGGAAAGCAATTCTGTTCTGTCTGATTTTAGAGCCTGCAGTCTTATGAAAAGAAATTATGAAATTTTAAATACCAACACTTCATGATAGCTATTTTGACCATGGTGTTCCTAAATTGTATTCCAAGCCACTTCTTTCTATGTAGCCTTCTGAATATAATTTATATTTTCTATTTTAATTAAGTTTAACCAAAGGTCATCATGATTATCATGATTCTTAAAATATAAGAATATCTAAGAATTCTTAGCTAATTCTTAGATATAAAAATGAACCTATACACTATGTGATGGACCTCAAGGAAATTTGTACTTACATTAAATGGCATGAATTATTGTACATTTTGTATTCGTAGGTCTACTTCTGGTATATTTCAGGGTCCTTTTTCTGATTGAGATCATTTTTCTGTTCATTGTTACCTCTTATTTCTATTTAATTTGCTGCTTTCAATTTTTCATTACCATTGAAGAGAAATTCTTGCTACTAATTACTTCTTCACTGATACTATTAGGAAAATCCATGTGAGAAATTTTGTGATTTATTTTTGACTATTCAGACATCACTTGGTTTCGGTTTTTAGTTTTAACTATTTTTTTTTATACTTAGCTCATTCAAAATGGGTGACGGAGGCTGAATGGGCCTAAAATATGAACAGAGCCCTGAAGTAGGCAATAATAAACCATGGGAATAAAGTCTCTATAGAAGAACTCAATAGAATCAGGGGTTTATATCCCTAAAATTTGTTACAAAGCTAAGGAAGGAGGAATTCTCTTTTAAATTGATAAGTTACTCCTTTACAGACAATTGAAGCTCAGTGAGAAGTGAAATTAATATAATAATCCAGCTAATAGATTGATGGGAGGTACATGTGGTATTCAATGGACATACTCCAATCTCATGATTTGGGGAAACTTTCAGAAAAAAAGGAGCTGATTAAACTCAGTTTCAAGAAATACACATAACAAAATATTTACCTCTACTCCTTCCTATGATTTCCTTAAAATTATAGTAACAAAAATAAAATGTTTAAATGAAAAACAACAAACAGAAGAGTGATCTTCACTGGCATGAGATTTCAACAAACTTACCAAAGGTGTAAAGTGGGTAGAGGAGTGGCTTTTGAAGGTGTAGGATGAGAGAAGCTACAGGCTCCTGTATGCAAAAAAGCAGTTGATGTCAGGCAGAGACAGCCCTGCAGAACCTGGAGAGCATTTGTACTCAGAGGGCAAAAGAAGGAGGGGTGGATCACAGAATGAAACTTAGAGTCGAAAGTACCCATTTATGTATCTGAAAACAGAATTCTGGAGAGGCAGGTGTGCTTAATGTGCAGCCAAAAAAGAAAAAAAGAAAGAAAGAAAGAAAAGAAAAGAAAGAGAGAGAGAGAAGAAGAAGAAGGGGCAGTTAAGTAATTTAATGAATATACTGGAAATAAATACAGTACAGAGTCAGAGGCCCAGAGTATAGCCCTCCACATTTTGGCTTCTCGATTCTCCTGGCTAACTGTTGAGAGCAGCAGCCTGCTTTCTGCAAACAAAAGTCGTTCTTTACAAGATACAATTAGCCAAATAAAGATTCTATAATTCTCCAGTCAGGGCTCACCAGACTTTGAATAAAACCTGTAATCAAAGTAAGAAAGACTGAGTAAAAGAAACGTAAAATTAAAATGATGGGGAGCACCTGACTGGCTCACTCAGTAGAGCATGTAGACAATTTCAGGATTGTGAGTTCAAGTCCTACATTAGGCATAGATCGTACTTCAAATTTAAATAAATAAATAAATACATACATATGGTAGTGGGTCGGGGGGAGAGTGGAAGAGATAATTTTAAAAACAGAAGATATTACAATACTTCTAAATTATTATTCCCAGATAGATTTGACAAGATATTATTTTCATACAGCAGGAAAAATTGGATATGAAAAATAAATCAATTATAAAATTAATCTTAAGTTGTAAAAGCAATTAAAAAATATAAACCTGATTGTCAAAAGAAGGAAAAATTAAATTAAAGTGTTCAAAGATAATTTTTTAAAATCTCCCTGATACTATGAAGAAAAGAAAAAGAGACATATTTTTTAAAAAAAGAAAATAAAGTTCAATTGAAATGTTTTAATGTCCACTTAATTGAGGTTTATAAAAAGAGAATAAGTTAAGTGAATAGGTGGAAAATTCTCAAAGAAATAAGAAAATATTCAGAGTTGAAGGATTTGAGTCTCCAAATTGTGTGAGCTGATTAAATGCCAATAACATTGAAGTATTAAAAATAAGATTAAAACCCTAAAAATAGCACTAGGACGTTTCAGAACTCTAGATAAAGAGAAGATACTGTATTATCAGAGAGAAGATACAGTAATATTTACTATTATGATTATCTGATTGACATTTGACTTCTCAGCAGTAACAATGGGTGATCAAAGATAATGGAGGAGTAGTCTATAAGATCTGAGGGCAGAAAGATTGTTAAACTAAATTTATGTAACAAGCAACCTATCAATCACATGAAACAGTAGTCATTTTTTGTGCTTTATTTAGGTTAGTCCACAGTTTATTTAATTCACAGACTAATGAGATATCGTAGGTTTAAATGAGGTTATGGTTAACCCATCTGGACTATGTACTAAGCAACTTATTCCAATATTCCCATAGCTGGTTATGCAGAAAAACTGTTAAACTTCCAAAAGACATGATGTCTCCTTCATTCATTCAAACTTTATGATTCAGTGTCATTGATGACTAGTGATGCTTTTTGGTTCTTGGATGATTATAACAAATTATGGAGAAATCCTCACCATTTTCCTGAGTCTACACATTTTCCAAAAGCTATGAAAAACATTAACCCACAGACTCAAGAAGCTTAAGAAAATACAAGCAAGATAAATACAAAGAACGTGACACCAAAACACTAACAATAAAACTAACCTAAAATAAATACAAGGAAAAAGTCTTAAAAGCAGCTAGGGTGAAGAGGAGATACATTCCTTTCAAAGGACAACCCATAAAACTGATATATACTTTTTCAAAGGAAATAATGAAAGTCAGAAGCTAGTAAAATACCATTGTCAAAGTGATGAAAAAAATAACTATCAAAACTGAAATTTAAAAATCCTATAAAAATGTACCTCAAAAGTTAAACATTTTATGACCAAAAATATTAAAAGAATTGGCCATCTATACATCTTCGCTAAGGAAAAAACTAGAGAGAATTCTTTAGGCAGAAGATAAGTAAAACTTTGAACATAGACAAAGAAATAAAAAACAATAGAAAGGATAAATCTAAAAGAATATTACTATGAATAACAGGAAAAAACAATAATATATTTTGGCATTTAAGTATATATAAAGAATTAAAATGAATAAGACATACACCTGAAACTAATATAACATTGTGTATCAACTATATTCAAACAAACAAAAATTTAAATAAATGAATAAGTTAAATGAAATGCACAAAATGACAACATCAAGAGTGGAAATTCATATAAGCTTATTGTATTACCTGAAAAATAATAAAAATAATAAATTATATTAAGCTCTAATAAGTCAAGAGATGCAAGTTGCAGTCTCCAAGTGAACCACTTAAACTACACGGAACATATAGTTAACAAATTAATGGAGGAGGTAAATGAAACAAAAATAAATAACCCAAAAAAATTCAGGAAGAGAGAGAAAGGGACATGAAACAGGTCAAATAATAGAAAACAATAGTAAGATGGTATATGAAAACTCCAATATACCAGTATTTACACTAAATATATAGAGAAAAAAATGCTTCAGTGTCAAAAGATTAGGTGAAATATTTATTTAAATTCTATAAGAAATTATATAAATGCAGAAACATAAATATATTTAAATTATTACTTAAATTTTTAAGGAAAACCATACTTTGTTTAACAATGGCTTTGAAACAAAGGGTACAATTGACAGAGCTTGGCTGGAAGATAGGCAAGGAAAAATTGGCTGCTAAGAGACTTCCTATGGTGGATGACACAAAAGTAAATTTTACCACACTGTTGAAGGTCGTAGAGGTAATCACCAAAGGAACTATATTGGGAAGAAAACTATATTGGGAAGAGGAAAAGTTGAAGGGGGTGTAAGTGAACCTGATCTTCACTGACTGTGGCAGAAATTCAATGGAAAGCAGTTAAGGTAGATGAATTAAAAATTTGCCATTTAAGAACAGTGACCCTTGGAGGCAGAACTGGGGTAGAGAAGGTTTTCATTACTTCATTCATTTAAGCATGCTCATGTATCACAATGACTTAACATTTCTAAAAATAGACAATTACACATGCACTTCTGATATGAATTTTTAAAACATTTCCCCTTGTTGATTATTACTTCTACTTACATTCTTGTTTGACTGACAAGGGAACAATCTTCTCTTCATTCCTTAGAGGATGATCCATGTGCACAGTCAGATATTGGAGACCTAGGGACCTCACAGCCTCCAAGGAGATGGTGCACATTTTAGTGATAGTCACTGTGCCATTTGGATTCTGAGCAAGGTATTCCTCAGGAGGATTAATCAAGACTTGTGATGGGAAAAGAGATATTTGGGGAACAGGTTTTCCCACAGCTGAGTAAATAAATCTAAGAAAATCTTCAGAGTCAAGATTGGACTGGAGTTCAGTTTTTAATCCAGATAGAGCTGAGACAAAAAAGGAGACAGAAAATTAAATATAAAAAAATGTTAAAGATAGACGTCCCCAAATATTTATATGATGACAAAATGTTGAAACATGTCCCTTTCAGACACCTCTCCTCATATTTTGCAAAACCTCACAATTCCATCTCTTGCACCTACCATCCTCCAATTGAAGAGAAATGCTTCATATCTCCACTTTCATTCAACCTTTAAATTACCTTATATAAACCTCCAATACTTTAAATTTACAGCAAAATAATGAGAAGACACTCTGATACTATCACTATTCTTTCAACATTTTGTTAATTCTTATTGTCTGTCTTCTTTCCTCTTCCATTTTCTCCACTCTTTTTCTTTTCCTCTCTTTCCCAGTGAAAATTCTTTTTTTTTAAAGGATTATTTATTTTTTATGTATTGACACAGAGAGAGAGATCACAAGTAGGCAGAGAGTCAGGCAGAGAGAGAGAAGCAGGCTTCCTGATGAGCAGAGAGCCAGATGCAGGGCTTGACCCCAGGACCCTGAGATCATGACCTGTGCAGAAGGTAGAGGGTTAACCCACTAAGCCACCCAGGCACCCCCCAACCCAGTGAAAATTCTGATGCCATCCATGAACTTTACCTACCAGATTAAAATCAGTGCAGTGTAAAAAGTTAGATGCGAGGTCAGAAGACCTAAATGTTATGCCTGGTCCTGTACTGTGTGAAAATGGAAAATCATATAACTATCATTGGTTTCCATTTTTTTTCTTCTGTGTAACAAAAGCATGGGTGGCCTCTATTATAATCTTTCCTTCTCTGACATTCTTTCTCTGGACCTTAACCTTGAAAGACCACATCCTCAAAATTTTGACTCTACACAAAACATTTACATACCTATAATGGTAAGGCAGATTTGTCCCCCATGGCTGCCATGTGGGAACACATTAAATAGACATTTGTAGCAAGCTTCATCTTCAAATGTTACTTCACGGATAGTTATGAATGAGGAATTGGGTTCGATGACCTCACAGTGCAGTCGATCTCTGTATGGTGGAAGAATCGTTTCTCCATATACACTGCTATATGTGCCAATATTTTGTGGCAAAGAACCTTGAATCTTCTGCCAGGTAATTTGCACAATATCTGCTGGAGTTGTTAAATTGCAGAAGATGGTCACATTTTCTCCAAATACAGCTGTTTCATTATTTTTGTATTTTATTCTGTGTGGGGAACCTGAAAATAAAACTCAGTATGAATTAGGAGAAATGCTCTTTCATACTACCTTGGACTTACCCCTATCATAGCACTTATCTCTCTGTTTTATAATTATCTTTTTATATGTGTCTCTTTCCCACTAGAAAATGAACTTTCTTATCTTCTTCATCGCTGATAAGTGGTTTCTAAAAGTGTCTCTGGCATATACTACCTAATTAATAAATATTTATTGAGTACAAAAATTGAAACATAAATTGACCAACACAAGTAATGGTAATTTTGATGAATTTCTGGAGGTTGAATATGAATTAGCTTGAGGGTAATAAACTCCTCAGGACTCCAATCTTAGAGAGGACCTAAAATTCTGTCAGTTTCGCCAGCATGAACCCCTCCAGGTTCTTACAGTGAAGAGCCAAGAAAAATCACCTCATATCTTTGGCAAAGGAAGGGGGAAGTAACCACATTGAAATAAGCCCAGGCCATTTTCTATTTAAAGGAAAAAACCCTCCTCTCCAGGGAAAAGACTTTACAGGATCCTTATCTTACGCAGGTAGAAGGACAAGGACCGTACTCTGGTTCCCTTTAGCTTTCCTATCTTACTTAAGGTGGGGAAGGAGGAGTAAAAAAGTAAGAAAACTTGTGATGGCCACAGCCAAGGATCAGAGGCCCAACAAAAGAGTGAAATTTGAACATAAGATTTTAAAATACTTCCCTCCCCAACTCTTCATCATCACATCAATAGAGATCTAATATAGTGACAATGGATTACAGCTGATATGGTTGCAAGTCTCAGACTTTTATTAACAAGGGGATCTTAGAAAAATTCAAAATCAGCAGAAGAGACAGAAACAAAAAAAAAACTACATGAATTTGAAACCCTTAAGTATAGACTTATTTAAAGAGTAAACACAACCCAACTCCTTGCCAGATTAACATAAAACCCATGCTAAAGCTCTACTTACTTTGGTTCTTTTATTTTTTTAAAGATTTTATTTATTTATTTGTCAGAAAGAGAGAAAGAGAGAGCACAAGCAGGCTGAGTGGCAGGCAGAGGCAGAGTGATAAGCAGACTCCCTGCTGAGCAAGGAGCTGGATGTGGAACTCGATTCCAGGATCTTGGGATCATGACCTGAACCAAAGGCAGTGGCTTAACCAACTGAGCCACCCAGGCATCCCCTTACCTTGGATCTTATTATCTGATATGTCATGTCTGGATTTCAACAAAAAAATTATGTATGTCATGCTAAAAGCCATAAATAAAAACAATCTGAAGAGACAAAACAAGTGTCCAAGCCAGATTCAAATATATTACAGATTTTGAAATTATCAGATGGAATTAAAATCAGCTAAGTATAGACTCTCATGGAAAAGTTGACACATGCAAGAATGCATGGATAATGTAAAAATAAATATTGACACTTTAAAAAGAATTAAAAAGAAAATGCTAAAGATATTACAAGAAAATAAAACTATAGACCAATATCTCTTATGAACATAAATTCAAAAGTGCTAAACAAAATATTAGCAAATTGAATCCAATAAAGTATTAAAAAAATATGCTCCATGGTCAAGTGAGATTCATCCCAGATATGCAAAGCTAGTTCAACATTTGAAAATCAAGTAATGTAATTTATTTAAACCACAGATTAAACAGAACATATTTAATGATCATATCAATAGATTCAGAAAAAGCATTTGATAAAATCCATCACCAATGCATAATAAAACTTAGTAAACTAGGAAAAGATGGGAACTCCTTTTACTTGACAAAGAATATCTATACAAACTTACACCTAGCAAAACTCGAAACTTCTCCACTAAAAAATAGGAGTAAGGCAAGGATGTCCCTTCTTACTACTCCTTTCCAATATCATACTTTAAACCTCTTCCTAATGCAAGAAGGCAAGAAAAGGAAATAAAATGTATGCAAATTGAAAAGGAAGATATTAAACTGTCTTTGTTCACAGATGATATCATCATCTATGTAGAAAATCAGAAAGAATCAACAAAAGAAACTCCTAGAACTAATAAGCAATTATAGGGGGCACCTAGGTGGCTCAGTGGGTTAAAGCCTCTGCCTTCAGCTCAGGTCATGATCCCAGGGTCCTGGGATTGAGCCCCATATCAGGCTCTCTGCTCAGCAGGGAGCCTGCTTCTTCCTCTTTCTGCCTGCCTCTCTGCCTACCTGTGATCTCTGCCTGTCAAATAAATAAATAAAATCTTTAAAAAAAAGCAATTTTAGCAAAGCTGTAATATTACAAGGTGATTTTACAAAAGTCAGTCACTTTCCTGTAAAAACACAATACCATTTACATGATAAGCAACCCAAATGAATTACTTAGGTATAAATCTAACAATGCATACAAGGTCTATATAAGGGAAATTATAAAACTGTAATGAACAAATCAAGGAAGAATTAACTAAATGAGGAACATTCCATGTCCATGGATAGGAAGACCCAATGTTAAAGTTCGTATAGAGAAGTAAGACCCAGAATAATTAACATAACATGAAAGGAGAAGAACAGAGTTGAAGAACTGATACTACTTAACTTCAAAATTTATTCTAAAACTACAGTAATCAATACAGTGCAGAATTGGCAAAAGAGCAGATAAAGAGATCAATGGAACAGAATAGAGTCCAGATATGGATGCACATACACAATGTTAACTGATCTTTGACAACAGTGCAAAGAAATTCAATGGAGAAAGGATAGTCCTTTTTTTTTTTTTTTGGTATCTTATATATTTTATTTATTTTTTATTTTTTATAAACATATAATATATTTTATCCCCAGGGGTACAGGTCTGTGAATCGCTAGGTTTACACACTTCACAGCACTCACCATAGCACATACCCTCCCCAATGACCATAACCCCACCCCCCTCACCCCACCCCCCTCCCCCCATCAACCCTCAGTTTGTTTTGTGAGATTAAGAGTCACTTATGGTTTCTCTCCCTCCCAATCCCATCTTGTTTCATTTACTATTCTCCTACCCCTTAACCCCCAATGTTGCATCTCCTCTCCCTCATATCAGGGAGATCATATGATAGTTGTCTTTCTCCGATTGACTTATTTCGCTAAGCATGATACCCTATAGTTCCATCCACATCATCGCAAATGGCAAGATTTCATTCTTTTGATGGCTGCATAGTATTCCATTGTGTATATATACCACATCTTCTTTAAGGGATAGTCTTTTTAACAAAGGATGATGCTGGAACAATTGAGTATCTGATTATTTTCCTAGGGTTGCCATAATAAATTACCACAAACTTCATGGCTTAAACAATTTATTTTCTCACAGATCTAGAGGTCAGAAGTCCTAAATCAAGGTGTTTTGGACTCTTTAACCCAACCCAGGGTGATTTCATCCTGAGATCCTTACCTTAATTTTATGTGGAAAGACCGAATTTCTAAATAAGATCACATTCTGAGATTTCGGATAGATAAGTGGAGGGGGGAGGCAGGAAGCCACACTATTCAATCTACTACAATATCCATATGTTAAAAAAAATTAATACAGACCCCTAACTAACAAAAATTAATTGAACATGGATTATAGACCTAAATTAAAAATGCAAAAGCCCAAAACTTAGAAGAAAATGTAAGACAAAATTTAAGTGACGTTGAGTTTGGTAATGTGTTATTAGATATAATACCAGAAGTATGATCCATGAATGAAAAAAAATTGCTAAGTTGGAGTTTATTATAATTAAAGACTTTTGCTTTTGAAAGACAACATAAGGAATATAAAGACAAGCCACAGACTGCAAGGAAGTGTTTGTAAAACACATACCTGATAAAGGACTTCGTCATAGGCCATTCAGACTGCTATAACATGGACTGGATAGTTTATAAACAACAGAAATTTTTTCTCACAGTTCTGGAGGCTGGACGTCCAAGATCAGGGTGCCATCATGGTTGTGTAAGGGCTCTTTTCTGGATCATAGAACTCTTATTGTGTCATCATATGGTGTTAAGGAACTAGGAAATTCTGTGGATTTTTTTTTTTTAATAATCTAATCCCATTCATGAAGATTCTGCCCTCCTGACCTACTCACTTCCCAAAGACTCCACCTACTTATAACATAAACTTAGAGGGTAAAAATTTCAGCATATGAATTTTGAGGGGACATAAACATTCAGGCCATAGCAGACTTGCATACAAAATATACATAAAATAAAAAAGAAGAAGAAGAAAGAAATCAAGCAACCTAATTTAAAAAAATAGGAAAAAATCTAAATGAACACCTCACCAAAGAAGATGTATAAATGGCAAACAAGCATATGAAAAGACATGTGAAATCTCTTGTTGTTAGAAAATTGCAAATTTAAACAATGAGATTCCACTATACGTGTATTAGACCGGGAAGGTGAGGAAAAAAACAATACTAAATATTGGTGAAGATGTGGAGTGGCAGGAACTCTTATTCATTTCCAATTCTAATGCAAAATTGTACAGCTACTCAGCAAGACAGTTTGGCAGTTTCTTACAAAACTAAACATACTTTTACCATGAGATCCAACAAGTGTACTCTTAGGTATTTACCCAACTGATTTGAAAACTTATATTCACATAAAAACCTACTTGAACATGTTTATAGCCTCCTATTCATAATCACCAAAAATATAAAGCAACAAGATGACTTCAATAGGTGAACGAGTAAACCATGGTACATCTATACAATAGAATATTATTCAGCCATGAAAAGAAATAAGCTATCAAATTACACACACACACACACACACACACACACACACACACACACACACATACACGCACACCATGGATAAACCTTAAATGCATATTGCTAAGTGAATGAAAATAAACTAAGAAGAAGCCTACACCCTGTGTGATTCCAAGAGCATGTCATCTTGGAAAAGATAAAACTATAGAGACAGTGAAACGATCAGTGGTAACCAGGGGTTTGGAGTAGGCAGAAGAGTTGAATAGGTGAGACACAGGGGATTTTTTAGGACAATGAAACTATCCTGTATGATACTATAATGGTTGATATATGATGTTATGCACTTGTCAAAACATATAGAGACTTATAGCACATAAAGTGAACCTTAATGTATTCAATTAAAAATTATTTAGGAGACTGGGGATGCCAAGGAGTGCAGACTGAAACTTGAAAATCTAACTGTATTATAAATGTATCTTATATGGCTATGAGTTAATAGTATGTACACTTGATACAATGTAATTAAAATGGCCTTTTACCTCTGTGTTCTTCCTCTCCCAAATCCATAACTGGAAGTCTAGTCATGAGAAAAAGATCAGACACATTCTGATAGAGGGTAATTCTACAAAATACTTCACCAGGCCCCTGAAAACAGTCAAGGTCATCAAAAACAAGGAAATTCTGAGGTACAGTCATAGTTAAGAGGACCCTAAGGGTCATGATGAATAAATGTAATGTGGTGTCGGGTGGGATCCTTAAACAAGAAGTTAAAAGTCAAGGAATACAAATAAACTGTGGACTTTAGTTATGAAAAATATATCAAATTTAATTTATTAATTATAACAAACATACTATACTAATGTAAAACATTAATAATAGGGAAAACTGGGTAAGAGATATAGGGGAACACTGTACTATTTTCTCAGTTTTCCTGTAAGCCTAAAACAGTTTTAAAAAATAAATTTTTTTAAAGAAATAAATTCTATTTCTATATATCTTCAATAAGCAAATGGGAAAAAATTAAAAATGCCATTTACAATAGCCTCCCTATCTAGGTAAAAAGAAAGAAATACATAGGGAAAAATCCACTGAATGATATATAAGACCTCTTTACTGAAATCTAAAAAATAAGTCTGGGAAAAAAAATAAAGTAGACTTACATAAGTGGAAAGATATATCATAGTTAAGAAAAAAAAATAAAGATGTCAATTCTTTTCAAGCTGATTTTTAGATTCCAGGCAAATCTAATAAAATTTCAAGCAGGTTTTTTTTTTTTTTTTTAATTCTGGATTTGACTAGCAGATTCTAAAAAAGCCAAGGCAATAAACTGGAGACTTACTATCCAGATATAAAGCTAAAGTGATACAATGTCATAATTATTCAAGGATAAGGAAACAGATGAAATACAATTAAATAGAGTCAGAAATGGTCCCACAAATATATGGTCATCTGATATATAAGACAAATGGAACAGACAGTGCATAGGTGTGGGGAAAAAGATTATCTAAAAAACGATGTAAATTAGATATCAATGTGGAAAAAATTATATATTGACTCCCATCTAAGACTAGAGAAAAAATTCCATTTCAAATGCTTCAAATAGAATACCATCTCAAAAATAAAGTATTATAGAACATCTACTTGGCTGGAGTAGCCAACGATTCCTTAAGAAGGGCACACATCAACAGTTATTTGATATGTTATTCCTTTTTTAGGAATATGACATGATAAAAAAAATCAGAAGTGAAAGATTGTTTACTTTAATATTTAATAATTTAATTATAATATATAAATAATTTAATATATAATATATTTATATTATTATAATATAATATATTATATTTATATATATTTATATATTTATATATAATATATTTAGTATATAAATAATTATAATATACAAAATAATTTAATATTTAATAATTTAATATTTAAAGGTCTACTTTAATATTTAATAATTGCGGTCTATCAAATGATAATAATGATAAAAATGATAAATTTTCATAAGTAAAAAGAGAATACATAGAGTAAGAGAAGATGTTTGCGATGCATATATACGACCAAGGACTTGGGTTCTACAAATCAATAAGATGAGGACAGACAACTCAATAGAAAGTTGAGCAAGATATATGAATTGCACATCATTAAAGAGAATGCCTAAATTACCAATAAACATATTTAAGATGCTCAACTTCTGTAGTCATCAAACATATACAAATTAAAATCCAGACTACACATGCACCAGAATGACTAACATCAAAGGCAAACAATACCAAATTTGGTGAAGATATATAGAAAACACAATTCATACAACTTTGATGGGAGTGTAAACTGAAAAACCCTTTGGCCTGATAGTCGATGGTACTGTAACAGCATTGTTACTTGTACTGCTACTGGTGACAGAGGTAGCTACACTTGTGATGAGCATCGTATAACATATAGAATGACTGAATCACCATGTTCTACACATGAAACTAATGTAGGATTGTGTATCAACTATACTTCAATAAAAAAAAAAAGCTGAACATAGACATATCCTATGATCAGAAAAATCTACTCCTAGATATATATCTAATAGAAATGCATATATGTTCTTCAAAACATATGTACAAAATGTTCATAGAAATACTATTTGTAATAGTCAAAACCAAAAAATTATCCAAATGCAAATAACAGAATTGATAGATAAATTATGGTATTTATACAATGGAATATTATACAATAATGAAATTTAATAAACTACTTTCATCTATTTTCTACTTTTATATCTACTTTCAACAATATGGATAAAACTCGCCAATATGTTGTTGAGCCAAAGAGACTAAATACAAGTGAATAAATGCTAAATGATTACATTTGCAACAGAAAAAAAAGAATCTATGGGGTAAGAAATTTGAATAGTAGCATTCTTAGGAAATGAAAGAAACGGGGCACGAATGAGAGTTTAGGATGCTATTAACATTTTGTTCCTGATCTATAATAGATATGTTGGTATAATCATGAAAATTAATCAGACTGCATACTTATGTTTGTACACTTTCCTATATGCCTGCCTTACTTAAATGCAAAGGTTAAAAAACATAAGCATATACCTCATCTACTTCATATTGTGAACACTTACCTCATATTGTGTTCTGTTTTTCATCTACTTTCCTTGGTTATTACATTCAAATTATAAACAAAAATTTTTTCAAATATTTTTCAAAAATTCATTATGTACACAGCATTGGAAAATATTTAAATACATAGAGCATACTTGTTGTACAAATAGTATTTCATTAGGGAACAAAAGACCTATGATGATGTCTTAACCTCTGCTAATTTCAAAAAGTATGGTTCTAAAGCAATCGTTTACTTTTCTAAGCCTCAGGGTTTTCATCTGCAAAATGGCCTTAGTGATACCTGACTTACAGGGTATTGTGAGCATTGAAAAGAATGTGTAGATATAATGACAGTTGTAAATCACCAAGACATTTCAGTGATCATGGGTGTGTAGACCCTGCACCCAAAGAAAGACCCAATACAGGTTTCCCTTGCTATCTGAAAATAGCGTGTTCCTGTGAAACCTTTCATAAACCCAAAATGTTTCAAGTGAAGAATATTCCCTGCTTTCTGAAAGTTGCAGTTATATCATTTTGCTTTTACAAAGGACCTACATTAGTACAGGAGGGCCTTTTTGTAAAAGTGAAAGTCCTCCTCATTTTTTTTTTTTTTTTTTTTTTTTTTTTTTTGGTTAGCAACAACAGGTAGTAATGTAGGTCATTAATAAAAGCAAAATGATGCAATATGAACCTTCAGAAAGTGGGGTATACCTGTAATACCTAATGAAAGTCTAAATGGTAACAAATAAGCTATCACTATTTCTGTAACAATTTCTAAAATTGTGCTTGCCACATCTCTTTATCATTATTTGTCCACATGCTCATCTCCCCCACTAGATTCTGAGTTACCTGATGTCAGAACCACCCTTCTCCATTTTGTATTTTAAAGGCTCAAGGAAGTTAAGAAGAAGTAAAACTCAGGCATACTGGTTTCCTCTTCCTGTCATGCTTCTTTTGTCCTTAGCATGAGTCACTCCCATTCAACTTTTGATTAAATTATCTAATTGAATTCAATGCTACTTCTACCAGGAAAAACTCCTTCACTAGAAGAAATCATGATTTATTTTCTCAACTAAATTCCTACAAAACATTAGTGACTGCCCTTACCATGAACCCAACAGGTTTTAGATGGAATTGAATTACATATCTTTATTCAAATAATTTTAAATGACTAGAAAATATCAGAACTTGAATATTAATTACATGTGTAATGTTGCAGGAGTACCTTAGTTTGTTTTTTTTTTTAAAGATTATTTATTTATTTATTTATTTGACAGCGAGAGAGAGAGAGAGAGAGAGAGAGAGAGAGATCACAAGTAGGCAGAGAGGCAGGCAGAGAGGAGGAAGCAGGCTCCCTGCTGAGCAGAGAGCCCGATGCAGGGCTCAATCCCAGGACCCCGAGATCATGACCTGAGCCGAAGGCAGAGGCTTAACCCACTGAGCCACCCAGGCGCCCCTGGAGTACCTTAGTTTGTAATGATAAGCAAACCCACAAAGGAAACAATGACCAGATTTAACAACATAAAATTGAAAAACCTCTTGGGGACCAAAACAAGTCAAATTCAAACTTAACACTAATGGGCTACAAGAATTACTGCAAAATTAATGAACTCACTAATTAGGTACCTAGCTAGTTAACTAGCTAACTGACTTGCAAAAGGGCCCATTTCCTTCCAGCAGGTTTGTGGCTGTTCTGATGTGAGCTACTTGGTTACCAACAACCTGAATAACTACATGATTAACATGCAGACTCAAACATAATGCTCTGCTCCTGTAACTTTACAAAAGTGGAAAGACCACCCTGGTATTTATTTGCCATTGATTTCTGGTCACAATGCATTTGCAAGATAAAGTGAAGAGTTACCTGATCCTTGTACCCAGATGGGAAGCATGAGGAGATGGAGGATGAAATGGAGTGGAAAGCCCATGAAATTTATAAAATCTTCAGTAACACGTGGAGCACTTTATTCTCTAGCTGGACTTTAGTTCTGAACCGGCAGTTACCTTTCCAATTTCTCACTGAAATCTGTTACTAATTAACCATTTACACAAACACAAAAACCGAAAAGCTCTCTGATCTTGCAGCATTTGTGGACTTCCTTGTCTGCTTAGCCTCCAATTTGCTGGAATCTCAGGTCTATGCATGCGATTTTCTTCAACATTATGTGCTTGTTGCTCTGTAGCTGTCGTAGATTCATACACAGGTTCTGAAAACTTACCTGCCAACTTGCAAGAAAATTTAATTAGCTCTTCTTTTGACAGTGTTATTAACTGTTCCCAGTCTTTCATGTCCTGTTATGTATGTACATAATAACATGCAAACTAGTTTATCCACAATGAGTGAGATCAAGTGAAAAGACTGCTCTCCCCAGAGGTATGCTGTGCTTCTAAAAATCCTCCTTTTGGCCTCTAAATCCCCATGATCATTGCCTCAAACTGAAATAGGAAATTAAAAATGTAAGTTTTCTGTAAAATCATTACTTTCAAATTAAATACTATTTATGTATTAAAATTTTAAAAAGAACAGGCACAGATTACTTTCATCTTTCTATAAGCTCCTCCCTGGCATGGTACTTTAAATAGAAGGAAAGTATTCTTTGCCTAGTGTTTTTGTTTGTGTTTTTCTCTTTTAAATTCCAACAGTCACTTACTTGCCTATTGGTATATTACTTACACAAGCCCATACAAGATTCCCCAGAATGGCTTCCTCTTCCTGGGATTGTGGAAAAGCAGTGCTCATTCACTATCAGTTCATAGCACACTTTAACAATGAACATTTGAAAGTAAGGATTTTTTCCCTCCTGCACATCTGTTATTGCTGGTTTCATCCAGTTCAATGTATTTTTAATTTCCTCTGAGACTTCCTTAAAAAAAAAAAAAAAAAAGATTTATTTATTTATTTGAGCAGGGAGGGGTGGTGGGAGAGGGAGAGAAATCCTCAAACAGACTCCCCACTGAGCATGGAGCTAGACAGGAGGCTGCATCCCAGGACCATGAGATCATGAACTGAGACAAAATCAAGAGTTAGAGGCTTAGCTGACTGAGCCACCCTAGGCCCCCCAGGTCTTCCTTTTGATTCATGGATAATAAAGGGTTTTTTCTTTTAATATTTTTTGTGTTTGGGTTTTTTTTTGTTCTTTTTCTTTTCTTTTTTTAAAGATTGTATTTATTTATTTGACAGAGAGAGTGCGCAAGAGAGCCCAAGGAGAGGAAGCAGCAGGTAAGGGAGAAGGAGAAGCAGACTCCCCGCTGAGCAGGGAGCCAGATGTGGGACTGGATCCCAGGACCCTGGGATCATGACCTGAGCCAAAGGCAGCTGCCCAGCCAACCGAGCCACCCAGGCACCCCTCTGTTATTTTTCTATTACTGCTTTTTGTTTGATTCCATGTGGTCAGGGAATATACTCTCTCCTGCTGAGGTGTGTTTATGGTCCAGGATATGGTTGATCTTGGTATATATTCCATAGGTGCTTGGAAAAAACCCATGCACTTTGCTCTTGTAAGGTGGCATGTTCTATAAATATTCATTAGATCTTGTTGGTTGATGGCGTTGTTGAATTCTTCTATGTACTTCCTGATTTTCTGTCTAGTTGTTCCATCAATTTTTGAGAGAGAGGAGGTTGAAGTCTCTAACTATAATTGTGGATTTGTCTATTCCTCCTTTCAGTTCTATCTAAAGACACATTTTGGATTGTTATATCTTCTTAGTATATTGACCACCATTTTACCTTTATGTGCTTTCCCTTTCTGTCCCTGGTGAGTTTTGTTTGTTTGTTTGTTTAAAGATTTTATTTATTTATTTGATGGAGAGAGATCACAAGTAGGCAGAGAGGCAGGCAGAGAGAGGGGGAAGCAGGATCCCCACTGAGCAGAGAGCCCGATGCAGGGCTCCATCCCAGGATCCTGAGATCATGACCCGAGCAGAAGGCAGAGACTTAACCCACTGAGCCAAGCACAGTTTTTTTGTTTTTTGTTGTTGTTGTTGTTGTTCTGAAACATATCAAATACAGCCGATCCTGCTTTCTCTTAACTACTTTGCATGTTATATCTTTTTCCATAATTTTATTCCAACCTACCTCTATTTCTTATGTTTCTATAATCGAAGTGAGTCTTCTTGGAGGGCAGCATATAGATTAGTCATATTTTTGTTTGTTTTTTATCTCTTCTAGCGATCTCAATCCTTTAATTGGTGTCTATCATTTACATTTAATGTAATTTATATACTTTTTTTCTTTAAAGATTTTATTTATTTATTTGACAGAGAGAGAGAGAGAGATCACAAGTAGGCAGAGAGGCAGGCAGAGAGAGGAGGAAGCAGGCTCCCCACTGAGCAGAGAGCCCTATGCAGGGTCGATCCCAGGACTCTGGGATCATGACCTGAGCTGAAGGCAGAGGCTTTAACCCACTAAGCCACACAGGAGCCCCTAATTTTTATATTTTTAAAGCTTAAGTTTTCCCTTTTTTTTTTATATTCTGTTTGTTCTCTTTTTCTATTTTGTTTTTCTGCCTTCTTATAGGATACTTGAACACTTTCTATAATTCCATTTTAATTTATCTATAGTGTTTTAAGTGTGTCTTCTTAAAGCTTTCTTAATAGTTATTCTAAATATTATATTACGTATGTACAATGTAATACATAAGCGAAGATTTGTGTATATATGCATGTGTGTATACCTAATCACTGTTTACAGGTGTCAACACTTCAGCAGTCCTAGGGAAATATAGAAAGCTTACCATCCTTTACATTTACATTCCTTTACCCTTTACTTTCTTTTACCCTTTCTATTTATAATATAATCATTTTACACATTACCTTTATATACTTTGAGAACTACATTTATCAGTGTTACAATTTTGTTTCAACCATCAAACATAATTCAGAAAACTCTAAAGGAGAAGAAAGTCTTTTGTATTTACCCATAAGTTTGCTTACCATATTCTTTCTTACTTGCTGATGTTCCAAGATTCCTTATTTTATTATATTCTTTTCTGCTTAGAGAATTTCCTGTAGCCATTCTTTTAGGGGTAGATCTATTGGTGACAAATTCTCTCAGTTTTCCTTCATCTGCCAATGTCTTGATTTCTCTTTTATTTGTAAAGAATATTTTCCCGGATACAAATAAACAGTTTGTATGTTCATTTTTCTCAGTACTTGAAAATGTTGTGAACTCCACAGTTTATAATAAGAAATCTGCTATCATTTGACTGATTTTCCTGCTATAAGTAATTTATCACTTCTCTATAACTGCTTTCAAGACTTTTTTTTTTTTTCATCTTTAGTTTTCTGAAGTTTAACTTCTGTCTTGAGATAGATTTATTTGGGTTTATCTTGTTTGGAGTTAACTGTTCTTCTTGACCCCATAGGTCTGCATTTTTCCAAATTTGTGAAACTTTCAATCATTATTTCTTTGAATACTTTTTCTGTCCCATTGTCTCATTCTGTCTCCTCCTAGAATTCTGAAGACCCAAATGGTAGATCTTTTTGTTTTAGTCCCACATGTTCCTGAAGTTGTGTTTTTTTTTTTCAGTCAATTTTTTTGTGTTTTTCAGAATTGGTCATTTCTATTGTTCTCTCCTCAAGTTCAATTATTTTTTTCCCCCATCTTCTCCATTCTGCTATTGAGCCCATAAGTTGCTTTTTAAGTTTTACATTTATTTTATTTATTTTTATTTTTTAAATTTCCATTTGGCTTTTCTTTATAACAGCTTTTTGTTTTTCTGTAACTTTTTATTTCTTTGCCCAGAGTTTCTATTTTTTTCATCTGTCTCAATTGTGTTATAATTATTCACTGAAGTATTTTTATAATGGTTATGTTAAATTCTTTTCTGGTAATGCTAAAATTTGAATCACGTTGGATTTGGAATCTGTTTATTGTCTGCTTTTTAAGTTGGAATCCATTTTTAGTCTTGGAGCACAATGGATAATTTTTAATTGACATCTGAACATTGTGCATATTTTAAGATTCTGGACCATATTTAAATCCAGTGTTTTAGCAGTCCTCCTCTAATACTGCTCTAGCAAAAGTAAGGACACTATCTTGTTACTGGCAGGTCAGGATGAAAGTGAAACTTCTATACTCAGTCTTCATTAACACAGAGCTAGGGGAATTCAGTGTCTCCATTGCTAAGAAGTGGTAATGGGGCACATCTCTTCTTACTGCTTTTGCATGGCCTCCACTTATACTGTGAGAGGTAACATTTTTTTATATCTGGATGATGGTGAATGTCCAAACTTTCTATTTGTTGTCCTCTGACATCACCCAAATGAGGAGGGCAAGGGTAATTTGTTCCGGTGGGAGTAGAAGTCCAAGCTCCAATATGGTCTCCACTGAATCACAGGGCCTGAGGTCCTTCTTTATTGCAAGGTGGGAACAAAAGTCCTAGTTCCCACTAGACCTTTTCTGATGCCACCCTTGTTGGTAGGTATGGGAATGGGGGCAGGGTTCTGGCACCTTGTAAAGTCTGGCACAGGTCAAGTGTAGGCTTCCCACTCAGCTCTTGCTGATGTGTGTATTTGTTTGTATGTGAGAGAGGGGATGGTTCATTTTTTCCTGTCGAGTTTGGCTGGAGTAAAGCAGTTATTGGTCAACATTTTCTCTCTTTCTAGACTGCCCCACTCCTGGGCATTTGTCTAAAGAGAGCAGGCTTTTTATGAGGTCTTTTAAAAATCTGTACTTACTGGCATTTCCAGGTTTCCAGCTTCTCCAATACCCCATCTGAGATAATTAAGGCAAAAAGAAAACCCAAAGAACTCATCTCAGTCAGTTATTCAGCTCTCAGGTACCTATCTGGGACTCCCTTCCCCTCATCTTTAAGAGTCTTCTCATGTTTGTTTTATATATAATATCCAGGGCTTTTAGCTGTACTTACTGCAAGGGATAGGAAAAAGTATAGAGACTTCACCTTCCAGAAATGGAAGTCTCACATAATTCAATTTTTAACAACAGGTAACACACTTAAATAGGCACTTCATAAACAATTCAAG